CGAGGATGCCAGTCAACACTGTAGTCGTTTGTTCACTCCTTCAGTCCGATAGTGCAGGAATATACACCGTTTTATTGGAGAGGCAGACAATCATTAGATATCCCTTAGTATTCCATTGGTAAGCAATCAGTTCCAGTCGGACAGCTTCTTCGGGAAACCTGTTGCTTTGTGGAACAGACTACCAGCAGGAGGATTTTCCAATCATATAACAATCTTGACCTCTTCAAGTCTAGGGTTAAACGTTATCTTTCATGCATCAACCCATGGGCTTTATTTCTTGCGTTTTTTTTTTTACATTCATACAGTATCCCTCTACCTTGAGTGGCTCTTGGGCTTTATATTCAGCGAACATTAGCATAAAAAGATGAACGATTATGAGTTTTGAAATACTTTAGGAAGGACGCCAAACATGTCAGATATATTAATGAGAGTAAAAAGCGACTCGGAATCGAATAAATGGTTTCTCTTGACATCCTCGGAAATTTGCCAAGTTGTACAGGCACCGAACAACTTACCAAATTGTACAGACACACCTGTAAAGACTTGTATATCCAAAGCTAGACTATTTTTTCTTATTTACAAAATTGAATTTTCCAGGTTGGATCAATATGTTCGTGGTCTGAGATATAGATTAGAAGATTTTACATACACTAACAATTACAGAGTAGAATTCTGTGATCCAAATAAAATTAACAACTGTACCTCAGGCTTAGTGTGAAAATAATCTCTTCTCTTCCAGCTAGGTGTTACTAACAAGGCAGGTAGAGCTCTTTAGCTATGGTTGGCAAACAGTCCAGGAGAATGACAACTCTGATTTCAAAATCGCTTAGACATGGGACAAACAAATTCACCTTATAAAAAAATCAACAAGTTACGAAAACCACAGTAGCAAGACCTAGCGTGGTGAGGTTGAGGCTCTGTACTTCATAGGGGAGTTGAACTGAATTAATCTTAGTATACTAAAGTACTAATAATAAATCTCTTAAAACCAATTTTCTACCGTCTCTTTGAATATAGTGAGAGCGATACTCACGAGGTGCAATATTATTTTACTTTGGAGCTAACTGAAATAATCTTAGTACACAAAGTGCTCATCAATAATTCCTCAGGATCTATTTTGTACCGTTTCCTTCGAATATATAGTAAGAACGATTTTAACGGGGTGCCTTATTAATTTGGTCTCGTGGCGAACTGAACTAATAATAGTAAACAAAATCCTAATAAGCAATTAGAACTTTATTAACACTTGTCTACTTCTGTTTTCTTTGAAATAGTCATTTCTATCGGAGTTTTTTTCATTGTCCATCAATAATACCACATTTACTACAAATTAAGGCCGTATGAATTTTTAAAAAAAATCCACTTTTGAATGTTTTCTTGTTTTGCACTGTCATTGGAACAAGTGTGCGAATTAACTGTTGTATTGTTCCTTTTGATGTTATACTAGTAGCATGGCCGGGCGTTGTCCGTGCTTGATTCAAAAATCGTACGACTCGTACAGCAATCGCTATCACTTGACTTAAAATATTTTTGCCCTTCCCCCCCTTTACCGTGCTGATGTTGCTACATGCCTTACTTCTTGCCTATCTCACACTGCGATTTTTTTCTAAGCTCTATACTAAACATTAAATCTGTTACGAAAAAAGAACTAAACAAAATGAACACAAAACGATCAGCTTTAAAAAAAGGACTCGTAACTGAAAAAACCGAATGAAAAAAGAATGTTAACAATAAATACTTTTTCACACCGAACCCAGTTCTGCGGAATCAGAATCAACGTTGAGTTTAAGCAAGCGAATGAGCCAATTGGAGTAAAGTGCCATGCAGATTTAGATTTTTCCCACTTGTGACGAATGCAGCTATCGATTTTTTTTGCATGCTAGCATGCTAGTTAACATTCGTGTCAGTCAGCTGTTGGCTCTCATATATATATATAATATATATATACACTAAAAAGGCTTAAACACTAATATTCCATGGTCATAATTTATTCCATTGGAATCGTAAATACAATCCAATTCATCAGACCTACAAATTCAAAAAAAAAACAGAAAAAACAACTCCGGAAATAAAAAATAAAATTTAGAGAGAGTGCAAATATGAGAGTGTGGGACCAATGTTAGAGCTATAGAGAGGGGTAACAGACGAGAGAATTTTTTTTAATACAAGATATATATGTATGGAATTTTTTTATACAAAATATATATGTATGTGTATGCATGTATGTATATATATTTATATATTTTGCATATTTATGTATATTTACCACTAATATTTCTCTCTCTCTCTCTCTCTATATATATATATATATATATATATATATATATATTACTACTGTATTTATTATTGCGTATACAATAATATATTAAGTAATTGCTTTTTCAGTGTCTGAGTTTTTACATTTTATTTTTCTATTCAAAAGAACACATGGGAGTTGAATACGTAGCTGTAAACATTGATATATTCCTATTCTATAGAATATATATTTGCATAAAAATTAATTGCTTGCCTCATTAATTTTATTACTTTACTAATGCTTTCATTAGACTTTTGTTGTGACAAATAATTGCTTATTTGTGTAATAATATATCCTGCTATATAATTTATTCTATTGCTTTTTAAACCATTTCTACCAAAGTAAGACATTAATGTCACTAAGAGGCAAGGGGTTACTGGGAGTGGAAGAGAATGAGAAGACTAAAGTGAAGAGAAGTGTGGGGAAAAGACAATAAAAGAATAGTGTTCAGGAAGATGGCGATTGCGTTCTATAACCTTGAAGATTGTAAGTAACAGAGAAGGAAGTAATTGACAGTGCCGAGAAGTGCGGGGAAAGAAAACTATTAGAATAGAATTTACGGTTGCATCTAGTCAGTTCAACAGTGAGGCTCTGTTGCCAATTTAGTAGCATGCTTAAATACATGCACCAAGGAGAACGCTTATCAGAACAATTGCCATGGAAATATTTGTAGAAAAGACAGAAGCCAAGTCTTATCGGTAAGAAAGTGACTGGGGCCGAGATGCCAGGTCAGGACCGATAATATTACATTCCTTAATTAATTCAACGAAAAATCACTAGCAAGTTAGGACGAGATTAATAAATCTGATGTTTTAGCAATTACGTTTAACAACTCTTAGTAAAAATTATTTAAAAAAATACATCAACTTATTTTGCTTGTTGATCAGCTGCAGACCTCTGAGCCGCCTTTCTGAGAAATCAATAACAATGATTTTCATATTAATCCATTTTCCATTTATTCTTGTCAACGCTCATATGTAAAGGGAGACGCAGGTTCGATCCCTGCCGGAGGATACATTTTCTTTACTTAGATTTCTCGAAAGCACAGGCCGATAGACCTATTGCACTGTTTAATAAATAAATAAATAAATTAATTAATTAATAAAATAGGGCGTCTATTTGAAATAAGAAATTTCCACTATAAAAAAACAAAAAAAAAAAAAAAACGTTTGAAATAATAAAAATGTCTGATTAAAAATATATCCATTAATTCTTTAGAAACTACTTTGTTTACGTTTCGGATACGAAACTAAACAGATATAGGATCTCAAGAAAAATAATCTGAGTGACAAGGATGTTCTTTTTATTAAAATGGTTCAAAAGAGCCTTATATACTGTGAAGCCCTTCGTGTTCGAGCAGTAAAGCATGCCAGATTAAACGGATCCGTACCAGAAGATAAGCAGTGTATACTATAATGGCCTTTGAAGTTATACGAGAATTTAGTAGGCACACTTGTATGAGTAAACAGTGAACATAATCGAAAGTCTTATTAATGAAAATCTACCTCACATCAGTTAATAAGACTTTATGTGGAGTAATGGACAGCGGCGCGGATTGAGGAATCGGAGAGCCGAGTTCGAATTCCAGTCGAATCCATTACATTCACTTATGTGCTAATACCCCCTACTAAAGATATGAATCCTCTTCTCCCCCCCCAAGCTATGGGTAAATAGCAGGACAGAGTGGGTTCTATAGCCTTGAATGGATGGCAATTGGTCTACCGCAGAAAGAAATGACAACCTACTGCGGGAAAAAATCTGCCTCATCAGTCATAATTAATTGAGTTATTTGCCTAAGCGTGTATCACGCATTGCACATAACTGAACTAACTGATGTCCTAGGTTGGTAATTTCCAATTTTGATGTGTGCTAATAAAAAGGGTGTCTACTCAAACACATATACCCACTAATAGGTTGATTGCCATTTGTTCATACATAATTCTTTTTCCAAATCAATGATTGATGTCACTGTAAAAATACACTAAAATTTCCTCGTTTACACAATGGAGTAAAACATTTAACCAAATTTTCGAACGTTCCAAAAAGATTCAAAAATAAAATTTAATAATCAAAAAATCATTTGGTCTTTTCTCTTAATAATGACATAAAGAAATCGACGATAAAACTTTGTTTATATTTAATTTGGGCCATTTTTTTTTCATTATGTATACTCGTTTTAGCGAATATTTGAAGGTACGTATATATGATACGTTCCAAAATTCGCTTGAAGATGAAACAAAACAAATGGTTTTAATTTAATTATATAATTAAATTTGAAGTTTTAGCTTCGGTTTTTGAAACATGCTAATTCCTGTGTAGCGAAGAAATCATATTTTAAATCCGTTAATTTATAATATTTATGCTCTGTAAATTTACATTGAGCACTGTTTTGTAAAAATAAAAATAAAAATATCAATAAGAACACCGGATTATATATCTTACTGTCTTTTTTTTTTATTATATATATATATATATATATATATATATATATATATATATATATATATATATATATATATATATATATATTCTTTTTTTTATATATATATATATATATATATATATATATATATATATATATATATATTCTTTTGTTTGTTTGTGTGTGTATATATATATAATTTTTTTTCTTTTGTATATATATATATATATATAATATATGTATGTATATTGCATAATAATTGATTTTTGGTTTATTTTCCAGGCCCCGAACAGTCTGCACTCTGTCGAGCTGAGTGAGCTGGTTAAATACTTGCTGAAGCCGGCCCACAATGACGTGGCCAAAGTCCGTGTTATCTTTCGCTGGATTTCCGGGCAAGATTTGTTGAGATACAAACACATCCAGGGCGCCCCCAGAGATTCGGCGGCAATGTACCTCAACGAACTCAAACAGAACAAAGGAAGTTACGAATCCCTATTTCGGCAAATGTGCTCGTAAGTTCGCTTATACTTTTAATGCCACATCGTCATCTAATTTTTTCTTCTTCTGAATATGAATATCGGTCGAATTTTGAGGTGGGGTTGGTCGCTGAGGGCCAAATTACATTTTTCGACTAGCTTGTTTTTGTCATTACATTTAACCGTTTTTTTTTTCACTGGCCCGCATGACTGATTCAAACGCTTTCCTCCTGATTACTGAAAAAGATGAACACGCCCAAAAGTATTCAAGAGCTTCCTGTGCACAATTATTTGCAATGGGGTATGACGACATTTTCCGCTTGTTTCCCCACATTGCTTCAGTTTTTTTTTTTCATCTGATAATTTTTTTTTATTTACATGTGGTTTCTCGCAATGGGAAAGGCTGTCCGTTGCATTCACTTTCGCACTTGGGAAAGATATGACTACGTCTCTTTCTCCTCCTCCTATGGATTAAATAGAAAGGTAGTATTCTTTTTAATCATTTAATTCAAGTAAGGCGATAATGTCACTAAGACGCACGGAGTTCCTAGGAGTGAAAGTGAATGAGAAGAATTTAGGGAGGAGAAAGGACAATAAAAGAACTGGTTTCAGAAAGACAAAATATGGCGATTGACGTTACATTAAATTTGAAGTAGAAGGGGAAGAGAGTTGCATAGGCGAGAAGTGCGAGAAAAGAAACCTCTCTAAAAAAGAAAAACGGTTATATCGAGTTATTTTAACAGTATAGCAACGAGAGGTCTCTTTAGCTTTGGGTAGCAACCAGTGAATGAAACCTCAGAAGTCCAAATCGTGATGGTAACGAGAAACTACTGCACTATCTTTTGCAAGTTGTCATGGTATTTAAGGAATAAAGAAAATAAATATATTGAGTCATGATCGCCTACATACTTGAATCTGTCTATATCTCTGAGAAGATAAGATTACTTACATTATTTACATTATTCGGACTGTTATCCTCATTTTCATTGCCATATTCACAACGTTTCGGCCGTTGTACACTTCGGCCTTCTGCAGGTGATTGGAATTTCGAATCGAAACCTTTATTTTGTCCGCAGTTTGTTCTAGTTCCACCTGCCATGTCTCTTCTTTGTGCCTCAGGACACATGGCCCAGTGGATTAGATCCAGTGACTAGACCTCAAGAATTGTGAGTTCAGTACCCAGCTACAACAGTGGTGAACCAAAACTTGGAGAGTTGAGTTAAAAAGAAATAACTGAGACATCCGGAAGAGGCATGACACGTGGAACTAGAACAAGCTACCCTGGTGGACGAAATAAAGTTCAGTTTAAAATTCCAGTCACCTGAAGAAGGCCGGGGCGTACAACGGCTGAAACGTTGTGAATAAGGCAATCAAGATGAAGATAACAGTCCGAATAATGTAAATAATGTAAGTTGACATGGTATTAAAGTAAACCATTCTTCCAATAATATCGGCTGGTGTAATTGATATCGGCTCGACAATGAAGTCAGAAAGCCAAATTCTAGTCGAGTTTGTTGCATTCACTTACGCCCTCATCTCCCCTCGGATATATGGGTTAAATAGTAGAAGTTTTATGTGGAAAATCATTGTCATTCTCAAAAAGAATTATTAATGAAATATTTACTCGCAAAATAAATATTATTCTTACAATCCCCAAATATGTTTCGGCTTTAAATAATCTACAAAAGATTGATAAGTCGAAAAAAAACAAATCAAACAAATCAGTTAATCAAGAGTAAAATCACTTTTCGTCCTACTAGACGGAATCAAAGCGGGGTATCTGTTCTCCTCATTTTAGACTCCAATCCTGCAACAGCACGTTTCTTATTACTCCAAAAGAGGTGCGGCCGGTGTAATATCGATGCTAGTGTGACAATGGTCACGGGGACTGGGCAGTTTTTCTCCTTGTGACATATGTACTCATGTGGAATCCCTACATAAAAAAAAAAACCTTGTGTCACATCCTGCCTTAGTGGGGAGGTCAATAACAGCGACATACCTAAATGTGATTCCCGATAATGTACTCTCAGGTTGGTAGTTCCATTACTACTTGGAAGACATGTAATGACGTGTGCGCGTGTCGGCAAAATGAGAACAGGAGACTTGAATCTTTCATATCTAACATTACCTTTTATCTAACTCTTGACTTCCTCAATTATTCTTGACCACTGTGTGGCGTGCGACCCAAGGAACTCTCGTCCGAAACATAGCCCTTACATTCTCGATTGTGATATATGAGAGACTACCGAACGCCGCTCTCGAGTGATCGTTTATATATTTTCATTCATTTTGAAGAAAAAGAAAACACTCAGTATAAAAATTTTCGTACAATGTAGAATACCTACTGGCTGGACAATTTAAAAGAGTAAAATTGATTTTTTTTTTGTTGGTCGTAATTCCTGGGACTGTTGATCATGTTGGTCATTGAGTGGGGAATGACTCATATATGTATCAGTTGACACTTGATTAAAGTGCTAGCACAATTAAAAAAAAACAAATGCGTATTACACAAATAAATCAAACCCTAATTTGCACTTCGCCAAACAAATTTAACCACACCCGGCTTCAGAAATATTCTTTCCATCGGCCGGCTGTGATGTCCACTTCAATCGTACAATCATGAATACGCCTCACGCAGGAACCTTACTTGACCTTTTTGATGTGAAACTCTTGAACCACTTGCCCGTTTCAGTTGTTATATCATTGACCAAAAGAATTTAATCACAGTAAATCTCTTAACTGTTCTTTTGTTTTCTTTCCCGTTAATTTGAATAGAACCAACGAAGAAGCTGATAAATAACTCGATGACCTTAGCGGTCGGTGTTCGATCCCAATTAAAAGCCAGATAGGCTATTTCCACTTGGAAGATTGGCACAACTCATTACCCTTATTTGGTTTTGTGTTGTATTAGGCTTTAAATCGGTCTGGGTTTTTTTTGCTTTTTTTTTGGTTTTTTTTTGGAGGGGTGGGGTAGATATGTTTATTTTTTATTAATTCCAATGATAAGAAATCGTTCCTAGGCAAAAGTTTAAAATCTTAAATTTCTCGTCGCACTGACCTTCCTCTTTCAGAAAATTGGTGGAACACAATCTTCCTAGCATTTATAACAACATTCATCGTTGGGTATTAAATTAAGTTCCACCCCAGTTTTTAATATTTTTTAACATTGCACATATGACAGTCTTCCTCTAGCTAAAAATCTTCACCTTAGGCTTGATGTTCCTTCATTTGGGAGCTGATTGTTAACCATTTGAGTGTTACTCATTTATATTAATCTACATAGAGAGAGCACTTATAGTTGTTCAAATTAATCTTCCTATCATTCCTTGTGATTTTGAACCTCACTGGGTGCTAGACTTATGAAAATCTGTATCCTAAAAAAAGGAGTGGTACTAAGTGTCTATTATGATTAGGGTTTCTGAGTTAGGATCTTAGTCTGTGTTCTGCTATTGTCACATTGTACCAGACTATGGTTTCTGTATTCTGTTTACACTATTTACATGCAGACTATTGTCCTCATCTTTGTTGCTGTTATCATAACGTTTCGGCTGTTATGTCCTCCGGCCTTCATCAGTTGTATATTGATCAGGTTAACCTACATGGAATTCTGAATCGAACCCTGCATTTAATTCAAGGAAGTAAATTGTTCTTGTTCCATTGCCCATGTCTAGGGATATCTCGTCTAGCTCTTATTTTTTGTACTGTTCGGTTATTGCTAGCCCTGTACATACTGCCCGTCTCAGAGATTGAACTCATAATTACTATGCCACCAAATTCACGAAGCAACGCTTTAATCCACTAGGCCATTGTCCCGTGTCCTTTCTTTTGTGTTAACTTTTTCAACTATAAACAAGAAGTATAGACACTAATTTCTTAAAAAGTAAGTCCTGCTTACATATGGATTGTATAGTAGATAAGTTCGTAGATCGAAATGAAAAAGAATAGGATCGACAATCTGAAGAATTAGAAAATATCTATCTATCTATCTATCTATCTATCTATCTATCTATCTATCTATATATATATATATATATATATATATATATATATATATATATTTAAGCATTTCACTCCAATCAAGGCGGGAGTACCACTAGTACGCAAGGGATTACAGAGAGTGAAAGTAAGAGAAAAGAGGAGCGTTTGAGGAAAGGATAAAGAGATTATACATATTAGCTCTAATCGCTTCCCACACGTTCCCGCGTATGGATAGTGAGAAAACAGTTGTTTCGGCAAATGAATAATAACAGTTTCAAACTAAATGTTTACAATTTTTCTCTTTGTAGATATGCCGGTATCCCATGTGAAAAGATCACAGGTTATGCTAAGGGCGTTTCCTACAAGGTCGGCGAGGATGTTCTGGAAAACGCACGCAACACTTGGAACGCCGTTTTGGTAGACAATACTTGGCGCCTGATTGACATGCAATGGGCCTCCCGACAAGTGGTCACGCAGGACCAGGGCGAATGGGAGCTTATTGACGACGGCACCGGAGCCAAGCCGACCAAATCCGACGAAGCAGATGTCAGCTACGACATTTATGCCTACGAGGAATTCTATTTTCTCTGCGACCCTGAGGAGTTCATTTACAGCCATTTCCCCGACGAAGAAGTTTGGCAGTTGCTTGCCAGACCCATGACCTTTGTTGAATTCCAGAAAATTGCATACCTGAGATCCAAGTTCTTCGAGGTAAGAAAGTTGATAAACACACTCATAAAAGAAAGCAAGTCAGAAAATAATTTGTTATCTGAATTTCTGGGATGAGATATTATCATTATTTACATGCGGACTATTGTCCTTTATTGTTGTTATCACAACGTTTCGACCATTGCGCCATCCTGCCTTCATCAGGCGTATGTCGATCCGGGTAACCTACAAGAACATTTGAATTGAACCCTATATTTAATCTCCAGGGATAGACTGTTATTTTTCCACTGCCCATGTCAAAGTTTAGCTTATTTAGTTATTATTTTTATTACTGCTTAGGATTATTGCTCACCTTTTACACTTAGTCCAAGTACACACTGCTCGACTCAGGGACAGAACTCACATTACTACGTCACCATTGTCTAGAGGACGACAACAGTCAGCATGCAAAGAAAGTATATAAGAAAAGAATTATCGTAAATACGGCTTGGAATTCTAATAGTCAATTACAATGTGATAGGAGTAAGACCAAACTTACAAAAAACGAGAGAAAACTGCCATCTTTATATTCAGAAGTTTATGGGATTTTTAATGGTGCGTATTTTAATGATGCGTATTGTCAATGAATATCTAATGGGCAAAAAAATAAAATAAAAAATAAATAAAATAAAAGTAAAGGAAATATAAACACATGAAAAAATAAATGAGTTATTTTTACTAGAATGGCAAAAAAGAATATGTTTAGGCAGAAAAAAAAAACTCGTATACATCTTTTAAAACAGGAATTGTGGCAAGCCATGATCGCCAACATCCTAAACGGACACGGCTCATAGAAAAATAAGTATAAGTATTATTTACTGAATGGTCCGAAATAAATTATGATTTTTATTGATATTGTACTATACAAATAATTTAAAAATTTTATCATTGACATATTTTGTATCTGGACTAAACTCATTTTGCCGTTGATGGTCCTTCGTAGTATTACTAGGATAAGAGACTTGTTTATTTGGAAGTGTTAGTTGACATCTCCTCCCGATATATATATATAAACATACAACTGATTACATTAACACTTCCGCTGCTATGACGTAGTTATACATCCTAACAAAGCTTACACGCTGTGTATATATATATATATACATACGTTTCAAGGACAATGAAAAGTGTCGCTTCCTAGCATTAGTGATTTTCCAAGCGTAGCTTAGATGTGTCAGAAGGCCGAAAATAGGAGGTACCCAGGGAGGATCGAACTTCCTACTCGGTCGTAATTGTTCTAGCGAGACAAGCTTGCTAAACATTACACCACCACGAAGTGCGCCTATATGAGTGTTATAAAGTATCTAGCATTTAGTGCTATTTCCAAGCCAGCGTATAAAATGCGACCTGTTTTGTGAGTGTCGCTTGGCTTAGTCGGTACTGAAGTGTATCCGAACGAAATCAAAATTGCGATACTTACAATAGAATAGCGTCAGAGTTTTTAAAGTCATTTATTTCCAATAAATAACATTTTCTTATTTCTTCCACAAAAATGTTCGCCACATCCATGCAATAATCGTATGAAAATGTAACAGAGAAAGCGTTAACAAATAACTGAGTGACGTGAGATCATTTTGAATATTGTCCTGATGCTTTGCAGGCCGACTTAACTAAAACTGCATAAACATCTCACCTCCCAAAATTCAGACAACAGCTTGAACATATTTTACAATCCTTCTTTTCCAGTTAGATCTCATAAATATTATTATTATTTTCATTTTTTTTCTATTTTGAGACAATCCTTTGCCAGTATGCTTTTATCTGAGTGCTTTAATAAAGGAATGGTATTCTTAGGAAGTTTATTCGAGATTATTATATTGAGGTACAGGAAAGATTTTCTTTTTTTTTCTTAGGAAGTTTAGCCTATTATAATGAGTTAATATAACGAGTCTAGCCGGGTCTGTTACATTTACTTACGGGAAACTCTCCCCCCCACCGCCTTGGGAAAGGTATGAATCCATCTCTTCTCTTCCCCAGTTAAATGTTGAATAGCAGGAAAGAATGGATCCTGGAGACTCGGTTGGTAACCAGTCCAACAAAGAAAGAAACAAAAACACACCGCGGGAAAAATCTTCAGTCGAGTCAGTCATGAATTGAAAGAGACATGATCGCTAAAGCGTGTATTATGTAGGGAACTTAACAGCCTGACTGACAGGTATTATACCGAGGTAAAGGAACGTCTTCTTAAGAGGTTTATTGGACCTATTGTATTACGGTATATGTATAATAATATGTATTATACTGAGGTAATGCAAGATTTTTGGTAGGAAGTTTATTGAGCTTATATTGATGTACAGGTATGTATAATACCTATACATCAGGTATATGGAAATAATGGAAGGATTTTATTAGAGGGTCTATTGAGTCTATATTGAGATATAACTATTATACTGAGGTAAAGGAATGTTTTAAGAAGTTTATTGGGCCTCTTATATTGCGGTATATGTATTATACTGAGGTAATGGAAGGTTTTTCTTAGGAAGACCATCGAGCGGGCTTTTCTCTTTTTGGAAGCAGTGATCATGAGCAGAATATCCCAGATTGTGATGGGTTTCCTGTGCGTTTCATGACTGTATCAGTATATTTACAGTCATTTCTAATGAATATTATTTTCGAAATAATGTCTGTGCTTAAATGATACATAACGCAATTTCTATTTCCAAGTCCTATTTTGCAAGTTTCTTTTGTCGAGATAATTATATATACTATGTAACATTTACATTTTTAAAAGCCTTTTATTATTATGCAATTACTTTTTATATATTTTCAGCTTCATCTAACCGTCATATCCCATCCGTGGTGTGTGCTCCAGGCCATAAGTGGAGAAGCCAATCTGGACTTAGGTTATCGCTCTGAAACTATGAAATTCTCTTACAACCTGTACCGTTCGACCAAGGTAGAACACAAACAAATTCAAGCCAATTACGACATGGATAAATTCCTCTTTTTGGACGCTGTACCAGACGAGAAGATTCTCAGCATGGAAATATTCTTCCCTACAACCGGAAAGTTTAAGGCTGAATTATTTGGACGAGACACAACCGAATCTGACACCGTTCTAAAATGGCTATGCACATACGTCTTCTATTGTGAGACCCCCAAGACCGACTGTCGACCCCTCCCACAAAATCCAAGAAAGGAATGGGGTCCTGGCTCTGACACCATTAGCATGGGAATGGAACCTCTTACCCACAAAAGAGGCAAAATCAATGTTGATGATGGCGAAGTTGAAGTGAAGTTTGCTCTCAAAGAGGACCGCGATTTCCTTCACAGATTAACCACCGAAGACAACAAAACACTTGACAATTACACTGTCCATCGCATAGAGAATGGTGAGGTCATTTTCAACGCAAGAGTTCCTGGAAAAGGACAGTACATGTTGAGTATCATGGCCAAAGAAAATGACCAAGATGGCGGCTATCCAAGTGTCTGCAATTATCTTTTGCGATGCGAGGAGGAATTCCCGCCATTGGAGCCGTTTCCTGAAATCCCAAATGGAGAACTTGGACCTACAGATGAATTCAAGAAGCTTAAATTGGAGCTGTTGGACGGTGCCAATTCTATGATAACCGTCGACAAATCAGGTCAGACTACTTTCAAAATGAAAATTCCTAAAGATGTCGAATTCTTTGCCAAACTGGGACTGCAGACACCATCAGGTGTCGAAGACAAATCCGAATATGTTTCATGGTACCGAGATGGAGATATCGTCACCTTTGATCTCCGCTTCGCCCAAAAAGGATCGTATCGTTTCAATCTTTTTGCCAAGCCTGCTGGCCAACCCGGTGGCTTTCCCAGGGCGTTTAGCTCCATCATTGAGGTGCCCATACCAATGTTGGTTGCTATGAGCTTTCCTGAGAAATACGCCGGATGGACGGACGAGTGCAAATTGATTGAACCGTTCAACAAGGATATTGCAGCTAAGGAAAACATTCAGTTTGCAGCTGTTGTGCCTGAGGCCAAAGCCGTAGCCGTAGTTGGCAACGAATGGACCCAGCTGAAGAAAGACAACGACGGAATCTGGAGAAATTCTGTCTACACTATCGAAGAAGGAAAACCCATGTTTTTGTCTGCCAAATTCGACGCCGAAGGAAATTCTTTCTCTCACTTGCTCAAATACAACGTAAGTAACGTTTCGTTATAATTCATTATTTTGATTACATAAAATGGGACATAAAACTTCAGGGCAAATTAATATGAAACTAGAAGTGCATGTGGAAATTTCACGGTTTTAATATTTTAATTTTCTGATGAATCTTAATTCTTAAGTTAATGATTAAATGAGCTCATGACAATAAAATATCCGGAGAAATTCCCCTATCGCATCGTTAAATATTTGAGCTTAACAACGTTAACAAAATATTGCAATAACAATCATAAATATGAATACTGGCTGTTATTCTAAGAAGTAAGGGGGTACAAATGAAAAGATTTGAAATTAACAACTTTTCCAATTTCACTGAAGTTAAACACGTCTTTCTTCCTTTTTCCTTCTTTTTCTTTCTTTACTTCTTTCTTTCTTTCTTTTATTTTCTTACTGAAAGCAATGAGATGAGATAATCGAGTTCAAGCGAAAGGAGAGCGATAACCGATTAACTTATTATTATTATTATTATTATTATTATTTTCTTTGATTTCCGTTGTATACTAATTTCCTTGCGGGTCCCAACCAGAGATTTAAGCTCAGAAATGACATTTTTCACTGATCATTTTTATAAATAAAACAAAACAAAAACGTAAGACCACACACATTTTAGATACATAAAGGCCTCCGTAATGTGTGAGCTGTACTTGCCAGTCATTTTTTTGTATTTCTTTAAGGCAAGGAATCCCTTTAATGAGTCTATCGAAACCTTTTCCAATCAATCCAAGGGCTCCAACTACTATTGGAATTATCGATGTTCTCACGTGCCACATTTTTGAGAGTTCCACTTCGAGATCATGTATTTTGATAGTTATTTAAACATTTCAAAGATACATTACAATCTTCAGGGGCTGACATGTCAATAAGAAAGCATATTCTGCTTTAGTGGTCTTTGATCACGATGTCTGCTCGACGAGTTCTGATTGTTCTGCCAGTGTGTATTGTAAAGTCCCATGAAATTGTTACAGGTCCTTTCTCTATAATTGGATCAGGGTGATGTTCATACCAGTTTCTTGCAGTGTTCTTTCCCGTAAAAACTGCATATTTCCCACTGCAGATATTGGCCCAATCTATCATGCTGAGTTTTATATTCAGTGGATAATAACATCATGCAACTTGATGCAAAATGGCCAATTATTTCTGGATATTTATCACAGTATTTAGATTTCGGGTCAACACAATTTTTCATTATGCGTGTCTGGCAATTTCTGTTTAGCAATCACTGGTCCTGTGCAACAGGAATAAAAGAATAAGCTTTTAAACCTGCACTACGTAACCACTGATAGTACGGACAGAGTATTGACTATAAAGAGGCTTATCTTGATATCATTTCTGCACTTGGTACATAGCATTTGTTTTCGCTTTCTTTATTATTATTATTATTATTTTCTTTCCCTTTCTTTCCTTTCCCATTAAAATATCGTAATTCGTCGCATTTTTATCCTCATTTTAATTATGTCCGTTCTGTTTACTATAAATTTGGAAGAAAAAAAATCTATTTTCAATTCTTGAATACTGTATAAAATTACGTATTTGGTAAATCATTTTGTTTAATTCTTTTTCTCTTCTTTCGTTTTCTCTTCGACTTGCTTAAGCTACATTGACGCCAGTAGTTGAGTTGTTTAAGATTTAATCAAATTTTACTACAGTTGGTTATAAACGAGCTGCTTATTAAAAAAAGAAATCGTGTATATTGTCCTACTCGTTACATCGCATGGCATTGGAAAAGTTCATCAGGAAAGTGGGTGAGATACCAAGCAGTTAAAAGTTCTAAGATAGAATTATGAGCTTGCTTAAAAGATAACAGGAGAAAGAAAAACAGTGACTCTATTGTTGAATAAAGTTAAGGCTGAACATTAAACAAAAATGTCTTTTATTTCTAACTTATTAAACGTAGCGAACCTTTCGGCAACTATATATTTAGCATTTTCTAGTGCCATGTGAGTTCTGAAGGTAGGTGGTCACGGCTATCCACAGCTTTCTTTTTAAATGTATGAAGAATTGAATGTATGAATGACTTCTTGCGAAGGATGCTGCAATAGGTACCCTTTACTCTCTCCACGGTTTTGAATTATATGCATTTAATATATATATATATATATATATATATATATATACACACAGTGTAACCTGGATATAAGAGAGTTGTCGGGACCGGAGAAGAAGTCTCTTATATCCGGGTTTATCATATATCCGGGTTTGGTCTATTTTATATACATTAACACAGGCTCTAATTTGGGACCAGAGAAAATCTCTCTTATATCCGGGTCTCTTACATCCGGGTTACACTGTATATATATATATATATATATATATATATATACATAGAGAGAGAGAGGGGAGAGAGTCATCCACAGATAGTTTCGCTGTATCACAGCTCCTCAGTGTGGCTAGACGTCCGATTGCTTCAAGCCAGAATCGAATATATATATATATATATATATATATATATATATATATATATATATATTAAGGAATCAATATTTTTTTTTCATCCCACATCATTATTTTTTTGTTACTCTAATCGTTATTTTTGGGCAGTAATCCTTCTTTTATACATGTTTCATTGAATGTGAAAAAAAAAAGAAAATTCTATAAGTTTTTATATAGTTTTACTAGTGTCCTTACGATGTTTTATTCTGTAATGTTTATTGTCCCTAGCGCTTTCGGCTAATTCTTTGTTAGTATATATGTGTATTATTATTCTATGCTATTATATAGGAATAGTCTTAGCAGCCGACTGTTCAAAACGCACCTGACATGTTTCGGTTGTTTTCAAAGCAAAACTGAAAAAAAAAAATAACTTACAAATTTTCTTTGTCTGTAGTATTTAATGAAACATAGATGTCCGTTTTCTCTATTCATGTTGATCGAATTATCTTTTAATCGCTTAGTTTGTGTTTTGTCTGGCAGGTGGTACCCAAGTCAAAGATCGAAGAGATGGCTCGCGAACAGAGCAGAGCTCACCACGAAGCTGACCAAGAGTACCAAGAAAGACAACGTATGAAAGAAGCACTGAAAAAGAAAGGGGAGGAGAAACGCAAGCAAGAGGCCCTGGAGAAAAAGAGGCGAATGGAACTTCAAGTTATGGAAGATGGCGAACGGAAACAGATCGAGGAAAGGTTCGACTTCGAAGACTCCGGCAAAGGCGATAGTGCCACGGCCAAGCGTCTCGAAGAAGAACGCAAGAAGAGAGAAGAAGACAGGAAAAGAAGAGTGGAAGAGATCAAACAAAGGGACGAGGAACTTACCAAGAAACGGGAATATCCTCGTTCTGCAACAGTAAGTGCATTATTAATCATTTCAATTTCTCATGATAATATTGTATTTAAACGTTAAAGACAGATAATAGGGAACGAGACCTGACCACTGAAATGATGATTTATGCATAGAGAGGTAAACAAAATAATGATTTGAAAATTCTATTAGTTGAAAAACTGGAAAATATGAACGAGAAGGTTATAAAAATGTTCGATTTGACCAAGATGTCTTTCATTCCAAATTTATGCATAAACCCACACACGTACAGACACGCGTGTGTGTGTCTGTGTGTAAAAATTTAGATATAAATAAAATATATCTGTAAAAAGACAATATGAAAGGAAAACGTTTATTTACTGACATAGTTTCATAGGATCTTCCATAGTTTTAGTTAACTTTCAGTTAGGCTGAAAGAATATTTATGAGCGTTCTATAAATTAAAACATTTTGAAAACCTAACTGTATTTTTACTTATGTTTATAAATGCTTGTTGCAAAGTGTCTACTGAATGCTAATCCCCTACAAAATATTTAACACCTTAAAGTTCTCCTCCATTTGTAAGCAGTGCTAGAAATAGAAGGAAAGAAATTATTCAGAAGCATGGGAAACCTCGTTGGAGCGACCAAATATATATTCTGGCTTATTCAACTTTTTGTGAAACGTATTTTTTTGATTCTAAGAATAATTCATTTTTTTGCGATTGAAATTTGCATTAACAATTTTTTGAGAATAACAATGATTTTTCTAGATACAAGTCCCACTACTTAGCACATAGCTGGCGGGGAGAGATCGGTGCATATCCTTTCTATTGGTATTTGCACATAAAGTGAATGTAACTAAGCCAACAGTAATTCGAACTCGGTTCGAGTCGCTATTTGTTACACCACCTGCACATCCCAATAAAAACAAAGTACAGATAATGTTTCAAGAAATCAGAGATCGACTTGACACTTTATTCATATTATGACAAAAAATCTATATTTATCAATTTTAAAAAATGTCATGGTTCGATGAATGTCTACTGAATACTAATCCCCCACAAAATATTGAACACCTTAAAGTTCTCCTCCATTTGTAAGCAGTGCTAGAAACAGAAGGAAAGAAATTATTCAGAAGCATGGGAAACCTCGTTGAGCGACCAAATATATATATATATATATATATATATATATATATATATATATATATATATATATATATATATATATATATATATATATATATATATATATGTGTGTGTAAAAGGAAGGAGTTAAAATGAAAGATAATCCTTGTTTAAAAAGAGAGAAAGGCTGACATTTACAAATAGAAAGATATTGTAGGAGGGAAAAAGGAAAAAGCAATGGTAGGGAAAGAAAGAAGTAAAAAAAAACATGAAAAGAAAGAAAAAACTCGAGGGCGTCACCACAGAACTGAGAGAGAGAGAGAGAGAGAGAGAGAGAGAGAGAGAGAGAAAGAGTGAAGGTATAGAAGTGAGAGATAAGGAGGAAAATAATGACAGATAGAAACAGAGAGTGACTGTACAGAGGGAAAGGAAGAGATAAACATTGAAGAGAGTGAGATAAAACGCAAAGGAAACAAAGGTAAGCACTGAAAGAGCGAGGAAGTGGGATGAACAGTGAACAAGAGAAAGAAAAATAAAGGAAGAGGGGGTAACAAAAAAAAAAGGGAGTAAGGAGGAGGAGGAGGAATATAAGAAAGATGTGGCGTTGGGTCGATTTCTAGATTTTAACTTAAGCCATCTCCCCGCCCAACAACAAGAAAAAAAGTACACACGCAGACACAAAAATATATATATAAAAAATAAATACAAATAAAAGTGAAAGAAGCTTTCTCGATGTTGGCATTTTTATCTGATGAAGATCTTGTCTTTGCGGTTACTGATCAGAATAGCAGTCAACAAAGACGGCAGCTCATTTGGTCGGACATCGGTAATTCCGACTCCAGACGTGTGCACGCAAGACTGTGATTCCTGAAAACCCATTTTGCGTTAATTTTATATTTTTTTCTGTCTCCGGATGTTTTGGCAAATTATCAAAATCTGTGTTAAAAAAAAATCCGTGATATGATAAAGTATAGACATGTTTATTTTCACATTATTCTCCAAAATGAAATATTTGTATATGGATTTGACAACCTTAATCTCAGTGTTGTTCCCCACCCCCCCTCTCTCTCTCTCATATATATATATATATATATATATATATATATATATATATATATATGAAGAAATATAGTCTTAAGATATGCTATATTTATGGGATAAAGTGCTCAATATCAGAGATAGAGCATGTGTAAATATAAAAGTGAAAATAGAAGTCAACACTTAGAGGCGACAGTCTGTTTCATGCTAGATGCAATCCTCAGGCCACCTGATGATTGCATCTAGCATGAAACAGACTGTTGCCTCTAAGTGTTGACTTCTATGTTCACTTTTATATATATATGTGTGTGTATAAATTCCTATAAACATTATTTTAGCGGATCTGTGAAACACATAGACATTCCATATTTATTTGCAAAAAAGTGAAATTAATGTCTACCGGTATAGGTCAGCAAAAGTTTTACTAAAGAAAATGTACCTCAAGGCTAGAGATCGAGCCTATATTCTAAGGAGAAGTATATTGTATTTTTAAGACGCTGATGATCTAGGCCGGTAGACGGTAATTTCGCTGTTTGTAAATATAATCTGTGTGTACGTGTGTATGAGTTTGTGTGTGCATGTAATATGCGTGTGTACATTCAAATGAGCGCTGAAAATTACACGGCACAGTACACTTCTCAAAATCACTGGTCATTAAAATACTGATTTATTTTTGGAAGTTGGTTGGTTGAAAACTTTTCCACCTTCCTCGAATATGTTGGCAGTGGGTATCCAGCGAATTTGCTATTTCGATTCTTACCTTTACAGAGAGGTAGAGAATTACGTGGAGATATTAAGATTACTTCAGTCGGTCGCATGGCCAATCCCTAAATGCTGGAAGATGCAGTTTTATTAACCTTCGTATTTGGAAGTTTGTGCTTTCCTTGGAAATCAGCATTCAAAATCTTGTATTTTGTTTTACAATTATATTAAAGGAAAGGTTGGAATAAGTAGGATAATAAAAATAATACTCATCGTAAAATGGTGAATCTAAAAATATAAGAAAATGGAAGAAAAAACAACAACAAAAAAGCTAATTAATTGTGGCGCCTTGCTCTTCCGAGCTCAGTCGCGGTCAAAACATATAAATCTGGACAACGATGAAAAAAGTAGGGAAGAAAAATACTACCAGATAATGAGCACAATGAATCAAAGACAGATCAAGTTGAACATTCCTTTTTCTTCCAGAGGGTATGTTACTAAACTACAGGGTCTTGAGAACTTTTAAATGATAATACGAATGTGCTCTGCTAACGACTGTAACAACAACAACAAAACAAAAAAACATATGATAAAAACGAGGCAGATATTGGTATATTTATTAGCTATTCTGAAAGTGTATGCAATTTTATGCTGACCTCTACGGATCTGCTACCTAATGATTAACTCTTCTTCTGAGTTTGTTTTACTTTATTTGTATATATTATGTCAATATATACTTTTAAAATATCTTCTTTTTTTAAAGCCATACTAAAATTTTGTACCCTCTACAGATTATATAAACGCATCTAGTTCCGCATAAGGATTAAAATATTTATGTTGAGCCAATTTTCCAAATAAAATAATCCTGCATAGCATCAAAATCAAAAATAAATTCGTTCGTTTTTTTTAGTGTCAGTGACATTGATGAGCAGATCTGATGCTTTGTGGAGAGTTGATCCCCAAAGCAGTAAGAGATCTATCGTATGTAGAGTTAGAAAAATGATGTAATTACAACAATGAGATTTTCCCTATAAGGATTCCGATTTATCGTGTAAACTTTGCTAATCTATAAAAAAAAGTATATGATTTTGTTAAGCTTATATATTTTTGTTAATTTCTAAATAAATAATATACGTTTTATTTATTCTTTTTTGTTGTTTGCTACCTTGTTCATGGATTGTTTGTAAATCTTGTAATGATCACCTGCCAACATATTTCCATTTTTGTTTTTCAGGGTGACCCTGTTTGGAAAGGTCGAGGTAAGCCAATTCTAAATTTCCTTATTTTGTCTGCAAATAGACTTTGTTTTTTTTAATTTTTTTATGACAAGTTTTTGTTATCTTTAAAACAACTTGTTATTGCTTAGTTCAGTTTCTCGCTTGATTTTCTTCAGAGTTTTGAACATTTACCTCAACTTTCAGTTCAACCTGATCCACAGTTCCAGACTCGGCTCATTTATAAGAATGAAGATTATTGTTGTCAGTTTTTTTTGTATGATGCGAGTTCGAGTCTCGTCGGATGTTGTGTCTTTATTTAAGATTAAAGTATTGTTTGCCTTTGTACTTAAAGAGTTTATCGACACAGAACAAAGGCAACATTAAGGAACTGGAAAAAAACCCAAATAATAATAATAATAATAATAATAGTGAAAATGCTTAATCTAAAAATCATGTGTAATAATCTAGCATAAAATTGGTCTTAAAATAATGATAGTGAAAAGGTTTAATCTAAAAAGGAATATTTATTTAATCTGACACACAGGCCTTAAGTGACTTACAGGGCCTTCTGTCCCTAAGAAGTCACACACGAAACTACTGAACGGGCACAATGCTGCTTTCGTAATCTGAACAAATAATAATAATAATAATAATAAACCTAGTATCCCATCGCTTCAAAAATCTACGTTACTCTGCTCTGCAAATATTCTGCGAAAGGTACTATCTGTTTGATGTCATACGAGTTGATCTTAAACTCATAATGCAAGAAATTCGGTTGAAAGCACAAATCCTTGAAGATTGGAAGATTATTATTATTAATAATAATATTTTAAAATGTTCCATCTAAAAATCAACAATACTAAAATGAAGAAAAAATCATTATAATAATCATAGTAATAATGTTCGACTATTTTACCAAAATGCAATAAATTTTAAGTGTATTATCAGTCTTTCCCAGGTTATGCAAAACAAATATGAAAGAAACACATTCGTATATTGTAGTGCTACTTCCAAAACTGAGATTAATACGGGTCAAAGTTGTTGTTTTTCATTAATCTTCCAAAGTCTTAGAAAATCAGCGTTAGATATTGTTTTTTTTACTTGGACACGAACGCTGATCCCTGGTGACAGTGAGAAATGAAACTATTTGAGCCACCAAGTAGACCCATATTTACATAACTTAGTTTGACAGAATGTAAGGCATCGAATGTGGATCGAAATCTTTATACTTGTAATGGCCTGATAAAAATGCTTATTACCAAATTTTCTCTGAAGTTTTTTTTTAAGACGATATAGTGGGAAACCTAGGAATTTTACTAAATCTATAGTTGGACACCACATAAAATTCAGCTTCCAGTAGATATTTATCAACTTTATCTTAGTCTGGTACAAGTCCAGAAACCTTGCAGTAGCTGGAGATGATCGAACTCACAACAATAGTAATTGTCTGCAACTCTTTTAAAAGTCACTGACAACAAAAGCATACTTAAATTAATACAATATAATCGACCTGTAAAATTCTTGTGAATGTTTACGTGCAAAAATAAACAGCATTTTTACATAAATCTGTTAAATAATATGCAATCTTTAAAACCTTTCAGATTATCTGATTTGAACTTATAACTACTTTTTCAAATGTTAATTACTGGCATGAAATTCTCTGTCCACCTCAGGCAAGTTTATCACCGTTTTTACAAGAAGCACCTCCATCAGATGCAATGTTAAGAAACAACGCAACTCCACAAAACATGACAAAAAAAGCATGTCTTTTTTTTTTTATTCATTTTTGCATGAAAATACCATTGCATGAAGCATGCTAATCTTTACATAAACAAGAAAGAGTTTAATTCGAAAACTTTCTCTCTCGAGGTGATCAGGATACTTGGACGACATCTTGAAAGTATTCAGTATCTTTTTCGGATGCTATCTTTATCGTCTTCATTGTGATTTGGGAGATTCATCACTTCCGGTATGAGGACTGTATACACTCTCTGGGTGAAATAAAAGGTTCATTTCAAAATCCCTTTAAAATTATCGAATATAAGACACCTGGGGAGGGGAGAGTTACGCCTATGGCAAGGAATTAAAATTACATTCTGTCTAAGTGCAAAGTCAAAAAGCATCCATCTGTGTGTGTGTGTGTATATATATATATATATATATATATATATATAATAAATTATTGTACTTTAAAAGAATACCTTTTTAATTTATTATTAGTTTTAACCCGTGAAAATGTCAAGGTTTTCCTATTTTAAATTTCTGATGAATCTTAATTCTTAGGTTAATTATTGAATAAGCTCATGGCGAGTTCAGCGACAATAAAATATCCGTAGAAATTCCCCTATCGCATCGTTAAATATTTCTGCTTAACAACTTTAGAAATATTGAAATAACAATCATAAATATTAATTATTTTAAGAAATAGGGAGGTACAGCTGAAAAGATTTGAAATGAAAACTTTTTTCCATTTCACTGAAACAGACGTTAAACAGTTCTTTTTTTACTTTTTTTTCCTTTGATTTTCTCACGGAAAGCAAGTAGCGTTTTTGATGTATTTGTCTTGTTACGCGATAAAAACGGAATCGTCAGCTATTTATGAGTTATTAGCAGAAGGCTCTTTCTTTATTTATTTATATATATATATATATATATATATATATATATATATATATATATATATATATATATATATAAATCTATATATAAAGAAAGAATATCTTTGCTACATTGTATCAATAACTTTGAAGGTATGAATATATTTTCAGAAGGGCCGAGCATTAAATAGTTATTTGAAGTCGTGTCTTAAAATGTAATATTATTAAATGGAAGGTCAAGCGTGCCGTTGAAAAAAAATTGACGTCTTTTTACATCTCGTTCCGCATAATCTCCAAATGAAATGTGAACGAATCAAATATAAATTCAAACGTTCATAAGATTAATTTTAAAATAGGGCTCAATACAATATATATGTATATTTGTGTATGTGTGTATATATATATATATATATATATGTTTGTGTGTGCATATATATATATATATATAAATATATAAGCATTAAATTACTGAATATATATATATATATATATATAGGAATTAAATTACTGAATATATATATATATATATATATATATATATATATATATATATATATATATATATATATATATATATATATCGTCAGGCTGTAATTTTTTCATCGATAAAAAAATGAAGGTTTTGAAAATACTCGCTGCTCTAAAAATACAGTAGATGCATTTGACAACAATTTTATACATAAGGATCGCGTCATTCAATGTGTTATTAGTAAGTTAATGCTTATGTGAAGTCTAATTGATTCATTGTATGATTACCTCTTTATAATATAATATAAATGTTGCCCAATATTATTATATATACTAGTGAATGGTCTGCTTGTTAACCATCGCTACTCAGTAAATATCTTTCTGGAATTAACTTATATTAACATATTTTTCCTTTAATGAAAAATAAAACTTTAAAATCGCCCTTTCCTCTATTTTGGATGAACTTGTAAATTCCTTTTCTGTTCCTTTGATGTCTATTTTCGCAATGCACCGCACAAGCCACTTTCATTGACTCACTCTTCTGGTTCAATCTACAGCTCAACTCACTTGGCTCTTTATAAAGCTCACAAGAATAACACCAAAGATCATTCCACAATTCTCAGGTTCCCTTGTTATCTTCTTGATTCCGCATGTTTTTTTTTTCTGTCTCGAGCTGCCCGTGATCATTTTTCAAGTAACTAAACAAAATTGTTTAAAGTTCAAGTTATCTTTGCCAGGTTCCAAATCGGCCGACGCTCTTCGAGATCAACTGAAACTCGCCATGAGACAGAAAAATAAAACTAACCTGGAAAGAGCTATCGCTGAATGCGAGGCATCCAGGCTTCCTGAATTGGAATCTGATCTCTATCAAGCCAAATCCGTTTTAGATACTCTACATCGTGGCCCTACCGGTACGTCTCCTACTCATGGATTTTTGTTAATCATTCGGATAATCTCTTACTATAAATTACGTATCGCATGAGTTTTGCAATATTACGATCACATCTTTGAAATTATTTTATGTTAATTATTACGACAATATATCGATTTTCAAGCAATTGCTTAAAATAATAACTTATATATATCCATATATAGATCCATTTAGGTGTAACCTAGGTAGTTCCTGGATCTTTAGGATTTTTTTGTTTACTTATCTTTGCTCTGTTTAGCGCATTGAGCACGGTAAGTTTTATCTGAGTTACTCGCTTAGTTTTTTTTTCTTTCGACTGGAAATTTAAGGCACTGGACGATTTTTTTCGCCATGTCCAGATGTTACTAATTCTTTCTTTTTTTCCTCGGGTACCAATTTGATATACTTGCAAATTGTGCCGTCCGTTTTTTTTTTTTTTTTTTTTTTTTACCAACCGAGTATAATTATTAGTATAATATATAAATTTCTTCGTCTATGAGTTTGAGAAAAGTCATTGTAATTTCAAGAGTTTTCTGAATACTGTATTATTTTTTGCGTTGATTTTGATGTTACAAACAAAAGTTGAATAGTTCTCGGATTGACCACCTTCCAAGACTTTCAGCAAATGACTAAAACATCAGAATTTTAGAAAAACAATCCCTCTTTGGACGGGTCAACAATTTTTCAGCGCCTTTCGCATAATTCACAAGGAAAAATGAGCATTGTTTTTACAATGAGATATATATATATATATATATATAGTGAACAGACGAACAACTGGGAGTAGTATATCAATCAGCGTGGCAGAGTCCTAGCAATGTAACCAACATAATTCCTTTGAGTGCTTAAAAATTGAAGAAATCAGCATACATTAACCTGTCGGCAAGGTTTGTATGCCAAGATAGTGCAAGCTTTACTGGACCGTGAATGTATTTATTCAGTCCAGAGAAAATTGGAGAAACAAATAAAAAATATAAAAATTAGAAACACAAGTTGGAAGGAATTGTATCGCTTCTGTGACTTGCATTGCTGGGAATGATTCAAGCCGGTTCTTATACTTACATTTCTGTTCGCCAAATCTTTCATAGACGTATCCTCTTTTTCCTTTACGGACTTTTCATCCGAAGAATTATGTAAAATATGTCAGCCGAATTTGTGCTTGCAAACATTTCGAAATATGAAAAAAAAAATGTGTATTCAATAATCCGAAGAAAACATCTGGGAATAATACAAGTTTCGTAAAATCTTTTTACTTACTCGATTGTCAGCTTCTTGAAAATAGCGTCAAATCTATTTGTGTATAGAAATTAGATAAATAATTGAAAGTGAAATTTACAAAATATAGTTTCCAAATTCAAAATTGAAGGAATTAAATAAATAAAAAAAATGTTTCTCTACTGTATTTAAATGACTTTTACAAAGGTGTTTGACACACACTTATATATGTATGAACAAACGCTTTTATGACTGATGACCAAATACAAAGTGAAATAATTATTTCTAAAACATCTACAAAAAAGGTTAAATTACGTTGTAGACCTAATTAACCATTATCCCCGGGAGTCAATTTAAACTGACGCTTTCTCTATATTGTGACATTTTACTTAGTGTGGATTTTCTTAATTTAATATGGAAACTTGGGAATCTTCTAATATACTTCAGTGAAATTTTCACTTTCCAAAATGATAGTTTATAATTATAGTTTAACGATATGCAGAAAATAAGGGGTAAGTTTAAACTGACGCCAATTTCCACCGAAACTGACATTACAGTCAGGAATGAAGAAAAATGTTTTCAAAAATATATTCTTGATACAATTCATGTTAATCTTTGTAGTCATATTATTATAATATACATTAATAATTCATTACATTCTTTTTCTAATAATTTCACAAGGGATTACTGAGTGTGAAAGCATAAGAAAAAAGAGAAACATTATTAAGGCGCGTGAACAATAGAAAAAGAGTAATGAAGAAGTCAGTAGATAATGATTGACATTTCATAGAACGTACACAAATTGTTAAGCGGTTTGTCATGAGAGAACGTCAATTTAATGTATGTATGCTGGAAGGAAGCAGGAATATTATGGGTTGTCATCATTTAAATATAAAACTACCCTATCAATATTACACTGTTGTTAAAAATTAGTGGATTAGCGATAAGTTACAATGTAAGCATATGAAAAAAGAGCGCTTGGAGAATGTCTAGGAAAGCAATGAGGTAAGAAGGCTTGGAAAATTTGGTACTCACAGAACATATCGAAAGCAAGAGAGAACAGATGAAAGTTGCGAATGACCTGCCCAACGAGCTTGTGTAAGTGATTGGCAGGACAGGGATTTGGAAAGATACCAAAAAGACAAGGTTACTAGTAGCTACAAAGGACAAGAAGTTTTTGAAATCCATGATCAGCAACATCTTTAAGAGATACGGCACAGAGAAGAAGAAATAAGATGCTATGAATACTATATCCAGCTTCGTAGATTAGACATTGGAAGATAAACTAGTTATATTGATACGAAAAACAAGCTATATAACAGGAGTTCTAAACCAGGTGCAATTTCAACATTAGTTATAAATTAAAATATTATTGTACAGGTATTCAAAATTAAAATTTTCTATTGCAGTTAAATTTGTAAAACTCCTCTATAAAAATAATGTATATGTACTAATATAGAAAAGATTGAAGATTTTCAATAATATATTCATATATTATTCGGAATGCACCGTTTGAGTCAGACAATCCTGGAAAGGTGGGTAAATGACATTCTGAGTTAGGGTGAAAAGGGGGCATTGGACAAAAAAAAGGTCGGGGACCGCTGCTATATGTTATAAGTTGAATATTATAGTCGCCTAAGTGTTTTAAAACAGATTTACAGTCAGATCTCTGAATAATTTTCTGAAAACTATACTTTAATACTAAGCCAAGAACTAAACTTTCTCGTTCCTTTTTGATTCTAAGTGAATAAGATTTTTGTTTTACGTATGATTTCCCTGACAAAAAGAACAAACATCCTCTACCTATTACGGACAGTTTTGTCTAACCTACCTGACAGCTGACCTTTACAAATCACAGGCGAAATGATTGTCCTTGTAAAAATTCTAACCTCAACAGGTAGTGTAAAATCTCCAGATATTTTGCGAGATCAGCTAAAGATGGCAACGAGATCAAAGAACAAACAGGCTCTTGAAAAGGCAATTATCGAAAGTGAAGCTTCAGGATATAAAGAATTGGATTCAGATCTTCAAAAGGCTATAAAAGTTTTTGAAAGCCTTGGTGGCGTACACCCAGGTAGGTGTTCATTACAATCAACCCACCTGCCATATTTCAAAACCCTATTGACTAAAAACCCTTAAAACCTTACCACTGCCATTCACCAAATCACAAATCACAAATCTCCAATCCTGGTTTTTACCTATGATTTATATATTACATCATATTATTATGCCATATATTGTTTTTCACTTGTTTTAATTTAAGTGGCTTTATATTTTCATTTGCGCCTCAGGTGTGTTTGTAACATTTCCAATTTGATATCTGGGGCGTGAAATGGAGACGAAAGAAAATTACGTTTTAACTCCGACTTTAGTTATTGTCAGATACATAACTATAGTAGCAATGATTCTGGTTGACTTGCTATAATGGTTTGTGATGCTATAATGTCAAGCATTATTAAGGAGCAAGAACAATACAAGAAAAGTAATCAAGAAAACAGTAGATAACGACTGACATTGCGTAGAAGGTACACAAATTATTACACTGTTTGACAGGATTTAAAAACAAAAATAATCTGGTTGTTTACGCGGTGGAAGAGAGTATGTCAGTTTAATCTATGTATGCTGGAACGAAGCACGAAGAAAGAGTATTATGGTCTGTCATTATTTAAATATAAATATACCCTATGAATATTATATTATCTTAATATTTAGTGAATTAGAGATATAAAAATACATTGTAAGCGTAAAGTACATACACAGAAATGAACGAATTAAATAATAATAGTAATAATAATATGTAGAAGAATATATATTAAAACTATTTAAATACAATCTTCATAGATGGAAAGGACGTTTTTCAAAGAAGGTATTAAAGGAAAGTAAGAAGAACTGACTAAATATCAGTTGTAAAAAGAAAGAATCTACGGTTGTCAGAAAAAGAAACGGCCCTAGATGCTAACAACGAATTGGAAACATCAAAATTAAGCAAGTACAGAAATTTAAATATCTATAAAAGGTTTTAAGTGAGTACGGAAAATATAACAACGAAATCCGAGGATTTACTGAAATAGAGAAATTGCCTTCCTAATATTAACCAAAGTATTAAGAAAAAGGAAAATTTGGTAAGAAAAAAAGAAAAGCGTACTGAACTCATATGTAATATGACTTCAGTACGCTTTTATTACTGTAATATGAATGTAATATCAGTCCTCCCAAGTGACAGAGAATGCTGGACAATCTCCTCACAGATGAAGAAGAGACTTGAAGCAACCAAAAAGTTATTCCACAGAAGGTTGCTGAGAATATCATGGACTATAAAACATGTGAGCAACGACGAACTTTTAAGGAAAATGGAATAAAAAAGGGGCCCTTATAATTAAGATCAGAAAGAGACTGCTGAAATTTCGAGAAAAAAATGAGAAATGGAGAATGTCTAGGGAAAATGAGGCGAGAGTGTTTGGAGAATTTAACACTCACAGGACATACTGAAAGCAAGAGGGACAGATGAAAGTAACAAATAAGCTGCCTAACGAGCTTGCGTAATTGGTTGTCAAAACAGGGATTAGGAGAGATATCAAAAAGAGAAACCCTACTAGGAGCTACAAAAGACAGGAAGTTGTGGAGATAGATAATCGCCAACATCCTGACGGGATACAGCACATGGAAGAAGAAATATTAAGCTCTGATTTTAATATCCAGTTTCGTAGATTAGACATTGGAAGATAAACGGGATATAATGATACGAAAAATAAGCTATATAATGGGTTCTCAACCAGTGGCGAATTTAAAGATTCTTGGGTGGTAGGAAAAATCTTTTATTTTTTTATTTTTATTTGGAGAAGTTTGCTTATTCAATTAAAATACATGAGCATTCTATTGAACTTTTTTTTTCTTATTGAAGTATGCTTCAATTTTTTAATAACTAGTTATAAATGTATATGTATTCAAGTGTAAAAAACAAAAAACAAAAAAAAAACAAAATTTTCTATTGCTGTTAAATTTGTGAAATTCCTTTATAAAAATAGTCCATGTCAATGTATATGTACTAATATGGAAGATTAAATAATTTCAATAATATATACATATTATTTAGAAGGCATTTTTTGTCGGATAATCCTGTATAGGTGGGTAAATGACATTCTGAGTTAGGGTGAAAAGGGGGCATTGGACAAAAAAAAAAGTTTGGTGACCGATGCTATATAAGTCATAAGTTGAATATTATAGTCGCCTAAGTGTTTTAAAACAGATTTACAGTCATATCTCTGAATGATTTTCTGAAAACTATACTTTAATACTAAGCCAAGAACTACACTTTCTCGTTCCTTTTTGATTCTTAGCAAATAAGATTTTTGTTTTACGTATGATTTCCCTGACAAAAAGAACAAACATTCTCTACCTATTACGGACAGTTTTGTCTAATCTACCTGACAGCTGACCTTTACAAATCACAGGCGAAATGATTGTCCTTGTAAAAATTCTAACCTCAACAGGTAGTGTAAAATCTCCCGATATTTTGCGAGATCAGCTAAAGATGGCAACGAGATCAAAGAACAAACAGGCTCTTGAAAAGGCAATTATCGAAAGTGAAGCTTCAGGATATAAAGAATTGGATTCAGATCTTCAAAAGGCTATAAAAGCTTTTGAAGGCCTTGGTGGTGTACGCCCAGGTAGGTGTTCATTACAATCAACCCACCTGCCATATTTCGAAACCCTATCGACTAAACCCTTAAAACTTTACCACTGCCATTCACCAAATCACAAATCTCCAATCCTTATCCCGGCTTTTACCTATAACTTGATATATATATATATATATTTTACATCCCATTATAATGCAAGGTATTGTTTTCACTCGTTTTAATTTAAATGACTATATTTTTTCATTTGTTTCTCAAGAGTGTTCGTAACCTTTTTAATTTGATGTCTGGGGGTATGAAATGAAGATAAAAGAAAATCACGTTTTAACTCCGACTTTAGTCATAGTCACATACCAATGGTGATTCTTGTTGACTTTCTACGATAGCTTGACGAACGCAGTAGAAGAGAATGGTATTTAAATTATTTTCTGTGAGCGTAGCGTAGCGGTTATCTGTGCTGAAAATAGAATCGGCCGAGTTCATTGCGTTCACTTTCACGCAAACTCCCTTCGGGAATGTGTAACTCTGTCTTCTCCCCATTACTGGTCTAGAGTAAATGCAGGGTCGATAGTGTTTTAGCCTTGGTTGTCATCCATTCAAGGGAAGGACAATCCAGAAATCAAAATCAGTTTGCCACAGAAATATCTAGCCTGGAGAGGCAGTGGCTTTGTACACCATAGGGGCGTCTAATGACTGAGGAAATATGAGGAAATTATAAAAATTATATATGAAATATAAATATTATGTATTTAAATGTACATCTGGTAGAATTTCAGAAATAACTCATTTAATGATCTTGTTGAAAATACAAAATATATTCAATGCTATAAAGCTGGTATTTTTTTTTTTTACAAAAGGAGATTGGTTAAAAGAAAACACAGCCGCAGTAAATGAGATTACGAATATAAAATAAATAAAAACTGATTAGAAGGAGCTGACAGATTTTCGTTCCTTTCTCATCAGAGCTCGTTGGTGGCATTAACAAGACTGCACTCAAAAACTAAAGGAAAAAGAAGGGAAATAACGATAATAAATATTGATACATGTATCATTCTTATTCTCATTTCTCCTTCTTTCTGTTATCAGTTGGGCACAATAACTTAAATGTTCGATGGGCATCTGATGAGAGCGAAACGGAAACCGGTCAGCCTTTTTTTAATAATTTTAGGTGGGAACTTCACTGTTTTATATATATATATATATATATATATATATATATATATATATATATATATGTTTGAATAAAAGACAGACCACGTTAAGATTCCATGTAATAAGCTATTTCACCATAACCCCTTTAACAGGGTTCTGGATCATCAGACTTTACTTCCAAAAGCTGAAATGAAAAATGAAAAGAAATTCACACGTTTTTTACGGACCTCATCAAGTATACGCAAAGTTAGCGAAGTGAGGTGGGAGAGAGGATATGAGTGTGTCATATGTATCATTTTAGTTTCCTATTTTAACCCCAGTGTGTCGGCTGGATGTTGCTCAAATCTAACGCGTCTCGTCTCTAGATAAAGGTGGTTAAGGGGTTAGCGATAAGGACTACATTAAGGAAGACGTTCCAACAACCCCAATAAATTACACGACAGGTTCCATTCAAATTCTTAGACGCTGTCAGTTCGCGTTACTTTAACGTGCATATTTGGGAGGTTAAGGTTTGATAAATATCTAAATTTTAAAGACACTCTACGAAGTTTATATATATATATATATATATATATATATATATATATATATATATATATATATATATATATATATATATATATAAACAGTATATTATACAAAAGGGATTAAGATTACATTAGGTTAATGATCAATTTCACCATGTAAATTGAAATAAAATTTACAAAATTATCCAAACTAGTCCATGGATGATAAATTGATTAATTTCAATAATTTATCATATCTGGTTTGAAAAATCCTTGTAAATTTTATTTCAGTTTACAAGGTGAAAATCACCATTTACATAATATAATCTTAAGTCCTATTGTATAAAAAAATGTTTGCTCTGTTAAAAACATTGCGCTCTGTAAATCAGTTTTAATATTTTGTATTGTATTGATAGGATTCACTGGAATTATATACCAACGGATTATATATATATATATATATATATATATATATATATATATATATATATATATATATATATAATTTATGTTTTGTTTATTTGTGTCAAGATATATATAATATGGAATTTCTTCAACGTATTCTATTACTTTCAGGAACTCAAAATTAACTTCCGGCATTCATTTTTTTAATCATATATTTTTCTTAAAATAACTTTGCCTCGATGACAGCTAAACAGTGACAATACATTCAAAAGTTATCCTCTGAAAATGTAAAACTTGAGACCCCAAGATGTACACCACAAACCTTGTGTTCGAATTTGGTTCACGAATGATTTTAAAAATATATCATCATTATGAAATTTATCTATGCAGACGTTATCCAAGTCTCCTTCTCGGTTCTACTTTATTTCTGCTTCATATTAACAATCTAAGAACATACTCGGATTTCTTATAAATAGCTATGCTGATGATACAAAGGTCTATGGATGCATCTCAAAAATGTAGATGACCAGAGATTGGCAGCTGATCTTTCCTCTGACCTAGCTCTGGAGGCACAGTGGGGGAAAGACTAAGATTGTAATATTCAGTATTTCCAAAACCAAACTAGTAACGTTCCACCATCACTGAGAAGACCAGAATTTTGATTTGTGATAGTGAATGGTTGTCCTCTCTCAAGGAGGTTGTTTGGCTTGAATACCGAATGGGAAAAATCGCTCCAGCCCTCAAGTCGAATTTATATAGACGAACCATCGCTAAAGAATAGTTGGTTCATTGTACCACTTCAGTAAGTACCCGGCACCGACAGCTATGCATTATCTCTACAACAACCAGATCAGAGCAATATGGAATACTGCTGCGTTGTCTTTGAAGGAGCTAGCTAGTCCTCATGTTTACTGAATTGACATAGTGCAGAAGCGTCTTCGCGGCCTTGTGGATGATGAATTATTTACCAATCTACAGCTCGCAGACGAAACGTCGCGAGTCTTTCGGTACTTTATCGTTATTTTTCGCAGCTAAGCCCCGTCTTGACATGCACATTGGAACAAATCATCCGCATTCCCCTCGTATTCCGTTAGTAAGAAGATAATTTCATTCGGACAATTTCTTTCCAAGAACCAGTGCTACGTGGAACAGACTCCCGAGAGTATGCTTCCCCGATCACTATAATCTTGACGATTAAGACTAGACTTAAAGAGGTTATCTTTTCTACATATCATCTTAAACTGCACATCTTACCTCCTCCTCCTCTTACGTACAATTATCTCAATCAGTAACCCCCATGCGCCATATATATTGAGTATCCAAACAGCTATTTCAAATTATATCCTACTTCACTTGGTGAAATGAGGGTGCGTGTTGCGTAGTGGTTATCTGCACAGTGGCATTGGAATAGCGAGTTCAATTCCAACCGATTCTAGTACGATCACTTTTCTACAAATACTCTTAGAAACGTATGAATCCATCTCTTCCCCCCCACCAGTTAAGCATTAATAGCAGAACAGATAAGGCTTTCTCGCCTTGATTAGCAACCAGTCTAGAAGAAGGAAAACCGTTTGTACTTGAGACTATCTACGCCATCCCGTATGAAATCTACTTACTAAAGAAACCATAGTCGAAACGCTTAGAGTAGTGAGACAGTGGTCCGATACTCTACAGGGAGGTGTACAGGGTCTACAACTGAAAGAGTTAAAAAACTGAAATATTCACTGAAATATTTTCAGTCATTAAAGCTGTTACATTTTGATGAAACTAATAAAAGAAATAAGTAAAAAAAAAGTCATTTCAGTTTCAGATGTTGCAATAATTATCCTTTGAAAATAATGTTTAAAATCTGTACGTTAAGTTTAAACAATATATGGTTTTATATGGTAAGTATGAAAAGTATATGTTTTTGTATATAAAAATACATCGTACATGGAGTTTCAGGTTTTGTATTCATTTTATCTCAAGAGGAAAAAATTTATTTTTAAGAATTAATAAATCAAAGCGCCAATCCTCATCAACTCCAATATCTTTCCTGCATGCAATCAAGGAAACAATTAATTTAGAGACCCGTGCATGTTTTGTTTACCACTGCGACGCATGCTTAGTTGTAGTTTGTTGTTTTTTTTAACGTTTGTGATGATTGTGTTGTCTATATTTGACGTGTTAGGTCCTCAGAAAATCGACGTTCTACGGGAACAGCTAAGAGAAGCCATGGCACAGAAGAATAAGACAAGCTTGGAGAAAGTGATCCGTGATTGCGAAGCGGCAGTAATACCGGAATTAGGACTGGAGCTTAGTAAAGCGCGCAACATGCTGGAAACAATAAGTGGTAGTCGTGGAGGTTAGGAATATCAATGTTTATATTCTCCTGTTTTCCTCTCAACTAATTTTACACGACTTAACAGAATAACCGCAGAAGAGAAACGAATAAAAAGGAAGAAATAAAGATTTTTCAATTGCACTCAACATGATTAACGTTTCTTCCTCGCTTATAATTTTCTGACATAACTTAGGCACTTTCAGATATCAGATTCAATTTTATCTCTGTACGGTACAACAGGGATAAGATTATGTTGCGACAACTTCCAAATAGAAAATGCTTGTGTCCCTTGTACAGCATCAAATAAAAACACTTACATTTACTAAAACTCGAAAAAACAACTACTGGTGTTGGTATCTATCTATCGCTCTAAGTCTGGCACAAGGCAAAAAAATAGAGCTTTCATTGAAGATCAGACTTTATTAATGATTTATAAGACTAGCTTCATAATCATTGTTTTCTTGCAGGAATTAATTAAGGTATGGAGTTAGCCACTAGAGTGAGATTGGAATTAAGAGTGATTTTACTGACAGATTGACTTGGAAATTACAGTTCTGTTGCTGACGCCATTTTCAGATATGTAATAAAGATTTATTAGGCTTTTTTTAGTCCTGTAAATAGCTAAATTGTGCATTGGGATGATCGAAATCATTACATTAAAGAGTTGTCTGTGAGATCAATTAGCTGTCGCTTTTTACGGCAGGGTCACCAAATTTAAAGTGGTTTATTTTTCAAAGATCAACTTTAAAAAAGGTAGTTATAAACATAAAACTAATAAATGCTTTAAAAAACATACTCTTAAAATGTAGTATCGGAATGTAGGGCCTTGATTATAATGTTCAACGGAAATGCGAGCGCAACGAACACTCACTCTACTGGGTCAGTCTACCAATAATCTTCGTGCTATCTACTCTCGGGTCCAATTTTTCTGTTATTTTCTAACGTTGTGTTGGAACGGCTCTGCTATCTTCACGATGGCCGAAAATTCCAAAGACCGTACCCGCATATAACTTTGTCTGAATCTCGGCAAAATCGCTACTGAGAAACTTGTACAGGCATCGTTCGGCATTTGATGAACATTAATTAGGTCGAACACAGGTTTTTGAGCGGTAAGTTTGGTCGAGTATCGATTCAAGATGATGAGCGTTCACGACGACCAATCACCAACAAAATGTCAGAGAATGCGCAAAATACATTAACTCATCCATCATCTCTCCCAAATTTATTGAATCAGTTATGGAAACTCCCAGTCTGTAAATTTTTCCAAGACCAACTTGTAAACAGGAAACTATTTAAGGGAAAATTAAGAATTAATTTGGTCATTAACAGATTAGATTTCCTGTTAAAAGGCTATATATATATATATATATATATATATATATATATATATATATATATATATATATATATATGTAATTCATCCAAATAATTTCAGCCGACAAGATCTGTCAGTTAATTTTTTTATTGAATTTTTCGAATAAGAATCCATAATGTTGATCCCAATGTATAATATCTTTTTCGAAAATTAGAAGAATTCAATGAAATTTAAACATACATATGTTGTTTAAATATTACTTATATTGATTCTCTCGAGCCTATACAATCAATATTTAACCGACAAGATATGTTCATGCTGTTTGCCATATTTCGTACTTTGAAATAAGTTTCTAAATGAAATCTTGTTACAAATACGATGGTTTTATAGACTGTAAGGTGGCTCTGTTTAGCTAAAGTTTTAAAATAAAACAGTGTGAAACATGCGTCTTATAGACCAATATATATAAATTCCCATGCATCTTATAGGCCAGTATATATAAAATCTCATTACTGGAATAAGTCATGAGATTTTGTATTTACTGGTCTTTATATAAATATAATTGCACTTCAATATTTGCGGACTACACTAATTTTGAAGCAGTATCTTAGTGGATAGACATTTCAATTTTAAATTGATTTAATGTAAATTTCTTATATATTCTCTACACATTCTTCTGATTTTTGTCTTGCACAAGATAACTCACTAACATTAATACTCACGCTTTAAATATACTTTAATTGAGAATTAGAAATCACTCACTAAAACTTCGTCAAACACGAACGATTTTTATTTAAAGATAAATTTAATTGCATTTTTGTTAATCTGACAAAGAGTTTTTTTTTCTGGCAAATATTCGAACCGAAAGTTGTTAAAAAAAACATAACATATGAAGCTTTCAAGATTTCCACTAATCTTCGCTAATTCTCGGACATTTCCGTTTTCGTTTTTTTATGATTGATTTGGGAATAATTTATTACAATCAGGCATCAAGTGTTCCGACTCTTTGCGTGACAAACTCCAGGCTGCCATGAAATCAAAGAACAAAATCGAATTAGAGAAAGCTATCGATGAATGCCAAGCATCTGGATTCCGAGAACTGATGACCGATGTCGAAAAAGCCAATAATGTTTTAGTATCAGTTGGTGGCAAACGAAGAGGTCAGATTCGCATCATTTTTCTTTTCCTATCTCCGTTATTTTAAAAATATGTTTATTATTGTGAAAATATTATATGTATATCATAAAAGGAAGTAATGTGTTTTTTTTAATTTCTCAGCATGTTACGAGTAGAATTATTGTAATTCTAGTGCATGACTTAATTTGTAGTTTGACTAATTGTTCTATGTGAGAGGATATATAAATGTCATAGAGTGCGTGCATTTGGGCTACGAGTTTTCATTTATACAATAAAAAGACTAAACAACATAAAATCAAACATGGTATTTGGGAAAAAAAAAGAAACAATACACACATGTAATCAGAACATTATCATCAAAATCTGCTTGTGAAAACCACAAGTACCAAAACATCGGAGAATATAGACTCAAATTTTTACCGGAAATTCGGAAAATGTTCCGCAATATAGAAAGAAATCCTTAAAAAGAACTTTCCCTTAAACAAACGAGCATAAATTAAACAAGTGCAATAATAAATCAGATCAAATTATGGAAATATAGTGGCCTTCAAAACAAATGAAAAGGAATGCCAAATAATGCTGACTACAGTATAACATCAAATCAAATACTCTTTTTTATATATATATATATATATAGTGTAACCCGGATATAAGAGAGTTGTCGTGACCGGAGAAGTCTCTTATATCCGGGTTTCTCTTATATCCGGGGTGGGGGTAATTTATATACATTAACACAGGCTCTAATTTGGACCAGAGAAAATCTCTCTTATATCCGGGTTTCTCTTATATCCGGGTCTCACTATATATATATATATATATATATATACTGTTTATAAGTTATTTTTATAGATACAATTTATTTAAGTAAATGGTCTGTTTTTGATTAAACAGTATTAATTACAGCTACCAGCCTAAATGTTTGAGAAATTTCTTAGAAAATATGCGTTCTCTGTCAGGAATCGAACCTGTATTCCTATACGATAACCATCATTTGGCCTGACGTGCTGTACCATTCAGCTACAGAGAAGCGTCTGGTTAGCAAAGTCCGGAGAACGCTTTCAATGTTTTCCGATATCATCCTTTCGGCCCTATATTTAGCTATTACCAGAACAGTAGACATTAAAATTGTCAATCTGGACAAAGTGATTTTGAATGTATTAAAAAATAATTTTACTTTCGGCCCATTGAAAGATTCTGCTTGTGTGTGTCTTTGTGTACCATGAAAAATACGTATTACAATACCAGATTTGAAAAAATTAAAAACAAAATTATCTCTTAACTGTAGTGTATGACTGCAAATACAATCAAATAAATTTTTGTGATCATTGACCTCATTATAAAGTGGGCCGTTTACCGACTACTTCCTGAATTGATAAATTATTCATATTTACATACACGTACAGACAAACGTCTCATCAACGGACTAACAGGGAGTTGGGTAGTCCGTTAAAGCCGATTGTCCGTAGATGGAAGGGATTATTTTTGAGTTATAAAACCACTATTAGGAACTGCCAGTAGTTATGATCATAATGTAAATACTATAAACATGTATATATGGCATAAATAAATGTATATTTAATATACATATATTAGTCAAAATAACAAAATTAATAGATTTCTCAGTTACTTTGTATCGAACTTTATATACTGTACACCTACTTTTGTTTACAATTGAAAGGGCCACCACCGCCGCCAAGCGGCCACTTTGAGAACTAATGCGACTCGTTCCGCAAATTTTGAAATAGATCGCTGACGATTTGGAAGTTTTTTTTTCCTGCATATTTTTAATATTCTGCCTGCAGATTTTATCCGTTGCATCCGAAGTCCGTTGATGGGGGGGGAGGTGTCCTTAGATGAGAGGTTTGTCTGTACTTAAACAATGCAATAAAATGACATTTCAGAACCTGAGCGTATTACACTCATACGAAATTTTATTGATACAACCAAATTCTGTATAGTGAACATTTCTCCGTAAATTTATTTGTATTTCGAGACATGGCCTTTGATTTGAATGTAGTTTTCAAAGAGAAACTCGATTTGCATGCTTCATTGTTGATTGAAATATCAATTTCAGTTTGTCTGTTAGTTGTTAGTAGTTGTGTGTTTGCACGCATGTATATATTTCTAACCACAGGACCAAAGTCTCCCGAGGTTTTGCGAGATCAGCTACGGACTGCCATCAAACATCGCAATAAGAAAGAGCTGGAGCAAGCCATCCAAGAGGCCGAAGCTAGCAACTACCCAGATTTGCAATCTGAAATTCTCTTGACCAAGCAGGTGCTCAAGAGCATTGATGTAGATCGTCCAGGTCAGCTTTGCGTTTTGAGTATTAGATCTTTGGAATTCTTTTTAACTTTTTGTAGAATTTCATCTAACAAAACTAGAATTAAAAATGAATTTCTTCTTTTGATGCATGAAGTTATACTAACACTCAAGATTCTCCTTTTGTTTAAATTATTGAAATCTACTGATCCCGTTCGACCGTTGCTGTTTGTTTTAATCATTTGAATCCCAAGCAAGGCGATAACGAGGCCAGGGGTTACCGAGAGTGAAAGAAAACGAGAAGATTTTAGTGAGGAGAAAGGACAGCAGATGAACAGGTTTCAGAAAGAGAGAAGATGGCGATTGACGTTGCATTTAAATTTTTGAAGATTGTAATTATCAGGGAAGCAAGAAATCGGAAGACTTTTCTTTGGATTCTGTAATTCTATAATCTACCAAAATTTGTTTATCTATCGCTTCTTAACTGAGAGAATATATCGTGAACAGATGATTTTTAATCTTTTCATCCTAAGCAAAGCGATAATGCCACTAGAACTCGGGAGTTAAAGGGATTGTAAGTGAAAGAGAATGAGAAGATTGAGGAAAAGACAAGAAAGGGACGGGACTCAAAAAGACAGAAGATCGCAATTGACGATGTATTTAAATTTTCTGGAACGACACAATAAACCAACATTCCTAGCAGTAGACGTAGCAATTGATTCGATATAAGTCACTCTACTTTATATCAGTAGAAAACGTGTTTCCAAGAAAGCGTCTAGCATCAGCCATGCTGATGACAGACAGAAGATGGCGATTGACGTTGCATTGAATGTTTTGAAGATTGTAATTATCAGGGAAGCAAGAAATCGGAAGTGAGAAATGCAAGAAAAGAAACTATTAGAATAAACCAGGTTACATCTGGCTATTTCAAGAATGAAACGACGAGACCTACTTGCCAATCTAGTGGTACCCTTAACTTCATGCAGTCGAGGTACCAAGGAGGCGAGTTCATTAGAGCAATTACCATTAAAATATTTATATAAAAGCAGAGTGAAGCCACAGCACAGTTGATAAAAAACTCTGAAGTTGAGATGCCAGGTCAGGACCGATATCATTACAGACCTTTCTTTGGATTCTGTAATTCCATAATCTCGAAATATATACTAGCAGCACTGGACCAGATATGTCAGTAATATTCAATTTACAGACGAACTCTAGATTTTTAAATGTGCAAGATGGATTCTGACGAGAAAACTGTCTAGCTGGACTCAGCGAATCAACTTTCCTGAAAAGAGTTCTTGCAATTAATTCAATATAATCACTTCACTTCACGTCCGTAGAAAAGATGTTGGGGCGGAAAAATAGATCTCTATTATGATTAATAGGTAGCAGATTCGTATCAAAGGCATTCAAATTTACAAGCTTTTTCTGGCTCACGTTAAGAACAGATTGGGATTCATTTTCGAGAGCAGCTGCTTGTTTTACTTTGTCGGACCTATCAGACTTAGTATCAAGACAGGAGTAAACAGTTGTGTCATCTCCATAAATACCTATTTGGGAGCTGATGACACCAGGAAGTTCGTTGAAAATAAAAAAACAACGTAGGTTCAAGGATAGTGCTCTGGGAAATCCCTTATTAATGTTAAAGGATATAGAATTCATAACATGATTTGTTAAGAATGTAATCAGCCTGTAATTTATGTAGCTGATTCTCTGCTAGTATTTTTCTTTCTTCATTTTCGGTCTTAGTGCAGATATTTATGTTTTGTCCTTCTTTGAATTCTGAAGAGTGAGGAGGGATAAACAGTTATCTTTATTGTTATATTTTTTAGAGTCACCGTTTTATGGTAATATTTTCTTCATTCCTTCCCCTATCTTTATATATATATATATATATATATATATATATATATATATATATATATATATATATATATATATATATATATATATGTATGTATGTATGTATATATACTTTCAAAATGTCCGTTTAAAGCAATAATAAATAGTAGATAATCGAAACGTTTCAAAGAAAGAAATGAAAATATTAAATTTAAATTGCAGAGAAAAATCACTGAGAAATAATTCTGTTTGTGGATAAATTTTATTCACTGTTATCGCAATTTACTAATTCTAAACATTTATGAATGTCTGTACCCTGAAAAAATAGTTTACCACCAAAATTCTCTCATCTTGTATAGCGCGCAGCTATATTTTAGGTGTAAAATGTTAGGAAAACCATTCATGTTATTATTCACCGTGAAATATGGCATCTAATAGAGATAACTTTTCGAAACTGATCTGGACACAGAATGAGAATATAGATAGCTCAAACCATCATAAAAATTAGTAAATATTTTTACGTAATTAGTAAGTATTAAACATTTTAAGTACATCGCTGTATGGATCAGTTATAATCCATTTAAGAGAAGAGATGAAGAAATTAAACACCGGAAACGTTGCTCTAGAGTTCGTCGTGTACACAGCAGGACGAGATATGACAAACCAAAAATATTAACCGGAAAACTCGGACCCCGTTTCGTCAGATCTCGATTTTCAGATGGACGACTTATTGGCGTTCAGTTCATTCCTAAATGTTTAAATTATCCTCCGTATGCAACGGGGTCTCGGATTAGTCATTAAAAATGATTTTAAACGAATATAAATATATAAATCTTACCCTTCATTAGATTCCACGGTTTGGCAATGCAGAATCACAAAAAAGCTTTATTAAATAACAACGACAACAACAAAAACACATTGCTTAAACACTTTTAATAACAGCAATAACAATAATGTATAGCACATGTAACTAGAATTGAAAATAATAAAATCAAACTGTTAACTTTCCACACTACCATAAATAAAAGGTTAAGAAAGAAATTCCCCTCACTACTAGAAAGAGGTATAATGTTTAGAATATTGGAGGAGTTTAATTTCCTGGAAAACTGTTTTAAGAAAATGATTTTTAGAAATATCATCCGATAGCAACACTAACTCTCTGGTCAATGGGTCAATGAAAGTCGAATGTTTCCTGTATGGAAACGACTATTTTCGTCATTAGCATTCCAATATTTTGTGACTCAGGCGAACATTCGTTGCCACTTTTTGGAAGTCAACGAATACTCGTTATCACTTTCGTAATGCTCGTTGTAGCAGAGACTTTGTAATCGCAGATACAACTATAGTAACGCCGTTGAACAATACTGGTGTCAGACGCCTTCGAATAATACTCGCACTAATAGTACTTGCTCGATAATACACGATCTAATAGTAACCACGGAATAGTGATCTGAATAGTAATCTGTATAGTGATCAGTACAGAGAATAATGTAGAAATAGGGAATAGTATAAAGAATAAAGAACAGTATAGTAATAGAAGATAGAGTAGGAATAGTGATCCGTATAATAGTAGAGGATAGACTAGAAAAGGTGATCAATTAGACGTCACACTACTTTCTTTTTATAAGTTTCCTCTATGGTCACGTGATCTACTTAATTCACTAATGGGATCACCTGTGTTTGCTCCCTGACGATCTATGTTTAAACTCAAGTGTCGGCAGCGACACCTTATTCCTATATAACACAATATAAGCTTACGGCCATATCAGTTTGAAACACCTGTTCTCGTACGATCTCTGAAGTTAAGCAATGTCGAGCCTATTCAGTAACTAGGTAAGGGACCGCTTGGGAATACCAGTGGGTGATGTAGTAGATAACATCTCGGAATTGAAAATCGGAGAGCCAAGTTCCAATTCCAATCGGGTTCGTTATATTCCCTTACACGGAAATATCCTTGGAAAGATATGAATCCCCCTCTTTCCCTCGTCTATGGATTAATTAGTCAGACTTGTATCAGTAAATAATTATTATTCCCCCCCCCCAAAAAAAAAATTGTTACAGTTTAAATATATATTAAATAACCTGCAAGAGGTTGATAAACCATAAAAAGCAAATCAATTATCATATAAATTTTCAGTTGAAAAAAATATATCGTTAAGTATCTCTAAACAATATATTACTAATTTCATACGAATAACCGAGACCATTTTGTTGTAATGGTTAACAAGCTTGTTTGGCTGCCTGAATTACGACTGAGTAATGAGTTCGTTCCTCACTGAGTGTTTAATACTTTCGGCTTTGTGCCGCATATAAGCTACGTTTGGTAAATCACCATACAGATAAGACGTTTCACTGTATACGGCAAATGAAAACTTTTCAGATATCAGCTTTAACACAGAACTTGGTGTAGTATCCAGCATTTCTATGTAACAGAAATGGTTCGTACGTGTTTCTAAAATCCTGTGTCTCCCGCTGACTCGCATTAACAATGCTGAGGCACTTAGGATATGAAATTTTAGAGTATCTTCAATATTTGCTTTTTACTATTTGTCCTATCATTTGTCCTTTTCTTTTTTCGTTTTTAATAGGAAGTCACTATACGAGTGATATATATATATATAATTTCAAGTTAATATGGTTCCAGCGTAGGGAAGAATGTGTTTAACTGACTATAAGCTGGTTTGTGAAGTCATTTTTATGGCTCCTGTATTTAAACAGGATATATTTTCTAATACATGTAATACTTGAAATGAAAAAATAATTTTGATTTGAAATTTAATAATATTGCCGTCAGCGAAGTGATTGGTATGGAACTTTTACTTTTAAAGTCTAATGCTAAGAAAGAGAAAATAAGGTTGGAAAGAAAATTTCTTTGTTTTCTATCAGGTTCCAAGAGCCCGGATGACTTACGCAAAGAATTAAAGACTGCCATTAGAAGCAAAAACAAGGACAGCCTGGAGAAGATTATCACAGAATGTGAACAATATTCTTATCCTGAGCTTGGCTCCGACTTAAGGGAGGCCCGTGATAGCCTGGGAAGCCTTGGAGGTGGTCGTGGAGGTAAGTGCTTTCGATTATATCCCTGCATGCTTCTCTTTCACTTTTCTTCGGTATATATATATAAAGGAGTTGAAAATGCAACTGGAATCTTTAAGAATATTTATTTCGAGTAACTTACCAGTTTCACAGTTCTATGATTTTCAAAAGTTAAACTGAGATGGAGAGACGTGTGACCATGTCATAATCTGTTCTGCACTTCAAGATGCAAAACAGATCATGGCTTAGTTACAATCTCAATTTAATCTTTGGAAATAATTGAAGTGTGAAATCAGTAAGTTACTCGAAATAAAGACTGCAATTGTATTTTCAAATTCCTTCTCCTATATATAATTACCCATGTGAGATATGTAAAAAAATCCTTCCTTACTTTCTTTCACACACACATATATTTCAGGTAGTTAAATAAAGATGACAAAATAAAAAATATTAATTATTTTGCGGTCTTTATCAGCCGTGTTCCTCTATTGAGATCAGAGTATGTATCTGGCGCCATCTAAACTTTAAGAGAAGCAGAAAGTTTGTTAAAATGTTTCCTGCTACTAGAAATTGTGCGTGCCTTTGTTACATTGCACACGTACAAAAACTTAAATATTAAAACGAACAAAATTAGACGTACTTAATCTATTTTGTACTTGCAGTTTTGTTGCAAACGGATGTCTCCAGCATTAATTCTTCATTCAACAAAACGAAATTATTTGTAAACAAATTACTGCTTTCCAAAAAGATGGCTTCCCCAACAATATGTCTGCTTGAAATAGTAAAATGGCGGCTGTAACTCTATTAAAAATGACTTGTCGAACACACACACACACACACACATATATATATATATATATATATCAACAATTATTTTGATGCATGGGTTTCATAGTAGTTTGTGTTACAAACGCCATTTTGTATGTAACTTCTTTGGGGTATTGGCCAAATTATCTAATGCATTCTGATTAGATAATTCCAATTTTAGAAAATTTTTATTCTTGAATACTTCCAGTAAAAAAAAGACACATATTCAGATAGGCTTTTAGCTAATATCTAAATTTAATATTTAATTTATGTTCTGTTTTTGAAGAAATAAAATCTTTTGTTTTCTTACTTTAAAAAAATTTGCTCCTGCTTGCTGGCTTCATTTTTTATTCATTTTTCAGGGTTCAATCAATTAGTTGAACCAAAGCTTTTCTTTTTTTGTAGCTTATAAAGGGCAATTTGATATAAAACATAAAGCTTTATGAATTCAGCGCTTTGAGAATGAAAAGAAAAAAAAAACTAATAGCATGAAAAAAAAAGAAGAAAATTATATATAAAAAAATTATTGCTTCTATGAAAAATTATTTCAGCATTGCTTTTTAGTCATCCATACGCTTCTAAGTTTCCTTATTTGCATCTTAAAAAATGAAATCTTTATTTCAGCTGCCATTTTGGTCACGTGTTTAATTGTCATGTATTTATTGCAAGTTGAATCAATTTTAGTTGCAGCACCTTTTTTTAATGCAAGCGCGTTTCTTACCTGTTGTTTCATTCCATCTCCAGGAATCCTAACCCCGGAACCTCTTCGCGAAAATATCAAACGCGCTATGCGAGACAAAGACAAAGAAAACCTGCAGAAGGTGGTAGATGAATGCGAGGCAGCCGGGCTGCGGGAACTCGATTCAGACATCTCCCTTGCCAAAGATGTTTTGGCTACGCTAACTGGCCGTGCCGGTTCCAGCCGTACGTTATTAGTTTCGTATCTTGTTGCTTAGGGATATGATTTGTGACTCATCATCATCATCATCATCATCATCATCATCAGAATCATCAGAATCATCAGAATCATCATCATCATCATCAGAATCATCATCAATGTGCCGTTTTGTCTTAGATTTTGTTTGTCCGAAAGAAAAAAAACATTCGATGCGAACAAAGATATTCTTATTCCATTTAAACTGATTTCGTGATGACGATAGACAATAAAAACCTTATGATTAGGGCTCAGATATTTTAAAGGGTCAAATATGGACACAGATGAAAAATAGCTCTATCACTTGAACCACAAAAACACACCGTCATTGAAATAAATTAAAATAATAATAAAAAAAAAACACTAGAGGAGCAAAAAGTTTATTTGAAATTTGGAAGGGAAATGTATATAGAGTGTCAAAATTTTTCAGGTTTTTCAAAATAAAAAGAAATCAACGTTTCACGAAAATATAGTCTAATTCAGCAGAAATCTTCAATGGAAAGGTGCCATGGTGTCGTAAAATTCCCCAGCGTGCACTCCAAATGCAAATTAGCTATGCATTTGAATTTGTGTAAACAAATTTATAAACAGTTGTTACTAGGGATTTTTGTGATTTTTTTTGTTAAACCAGAACATGTTGCGTCATTAATATCTGTCAGAAGAAATGATACATCCCTAAATTCAGCGTGTAAAGCTAGGATTGACTGTTTTAAAAATCAGTTTTCTATTGTAATTATTGGACTGAGATATATTTACTAAAATTATTTAATAATAAAAGAATAAAAAGTCCTAAAATCAAAACTATGATTATTGTAACAATATGTATAAAATACAAACATATTTTTGTCGTATTATACTGTGAAGAAGTGTAACTTTTGTCATTCTCATTAGAAACGTCTTTATCAATTTCTTTATCATTTTCATGATCCTTCAATGTTTCACACTCTCATGTTTTCTAGTCTTGTTGTTGTTTTGCGGGGTGGGGGTTATTTTGAGAATAATTTTACAATTGTTTGATATTTTACAGTGTTTAAAGTTTTCTTTCTTATTAATATACGTCGTTTTCTTTACGGGCTTAATTTGCATTTGTGTAATGAGGCAAAAGCGAGACAACTCTAAGATCGATTCTTTAGAGTCAAGATTATTATGTAGACATATATATGAAATTTTAATATAAGCATTATACATACAGGGTGCTGCAGAAATATCTCCCACCCAGTATTTATTTATATATGTTTATATACATTTCTCATATATATATATAGATATGCAATTATAATTATGTATCATTATAATTACATATCAATTTTAACCAAAAATATATACGATAATACATTTTAAATATATATATGTATATAATATAACCTTATTAATATACATGTGCAGATTATTCGTATGGACGTGTTTATTTATGCAAACTATTTTTTTTGATTACTCTTTTTTTACTTAATATACGCATAAGTTGCTTTATCACTCGTATATATATATATAATTTTTTGTCTATCTAGAGATATACTATTTGTTAAGAAATATTTCTCAATAAAGACTAAATGTTCTAATTGAATTAACTTTTTTTCGAAAAGTAAAGAAATGAAAGAAAAGGATATAAAGTTGGGTTAATATAAAATAGTGTCGATTCTTTATGTTTGATAAAATAGCGGTTGTGTTTTACGAAGCAAACCTTTCCTTTATTCTCCTTGACAGAAAGAAGCTCTATGGAAGAGCTTCGTGAACAGCTCAACACGGCGATGAGACTCCGCAGCAAGCCTCGTTTGGAACGTGTACTAAACGAATGCGAAGCAGCGGGTTACGCCCAGTTGGGTCCCGATATGGAAAAGGCTCGTCAACTCATGCACAGCTTAGGAGGTGGACGAGAAGGTTAGCTTTGAGTAAAATTGAAAATTGTTCAAGCCCTTAATGCCGAGATTATTGACTAGCATATTATAAATGTCATTACCAAAATATCATTATCAATATCATAGCAGTATATGTTTTTCCATGCAATCAAATTTTTGTTTCTATGTCATTATACGTATTTGTAGGAGTATATTGGTGAAATGTTATACAATATTTTCTGTATACGAATGAGAAAGTGTACTATATATATACATGCATACACACATAAGAAAAGGAAATTATATATATATTTATTTATGTATGTATGTATGTATGTATGTATGTATGGTTAAAGATCAAGGAATGTATTCAAACACCGAAATATAGAAAATAAACAAGAACTCCTGAACTAAAATTTCCGTTGGTCTTTAACCAAACTTATAAAAATTAAACATTGCTCCCCAAATACAGCTAATATATATATATATATATATATATATATATATATATATATATGACAAGAGGAAATTATGAACAAAGACAAAAGGAAAACTTATTTTAGCCGACACCTTTCGTCCTCTGACAAGCCAAATGTGATAAAGTCCGTCAGTTAAGTTTTCCTTTTGTCTTTATTCATATGTCCTGTTATAGATATATTGTGTTGTAGGAAAATCTACGACAAAATGGAAAAGGTTTTTTGTGTGTCGCGTTTCATCTTTTAGAACTTCATCGGACTAAAGTGATGTTTATGTAGTAATTTCTAAAAAACTAACATCACATGAAAAATCTTTTCCACTTTGTTATATATTATCCTAAAATTATTCTTGATATATAAAAATGTGTCGTTTTCCTTATATATATATATATATATATATATATATATATATATATATATATATAGATAGATTGATAGATAGATATCCAGGTAAAATGAGAACAAATGGAATATAAACCATGCCCGAGGAGACACATTTATGGTGTTGAAACAGTTGCTATTATGTAACGATTTTTAACGTGTTTTAATATCCTAAAATAATTAATAAAAATATATAAATATAATGTATGTATCGTGTCAACTTGCATTTATTTCCTATTTGAATTTTCCTCCAGTTTGGTTTTAATGATATGATTGAAACCTCATAAATCTCTATATATGCCACTGTCTAGAGCATGAATTAAAATAATGGTATGGATAAATCTGTAAAATAATATATTTACTGTCATATTTAAATATATTTATTATTTTTTAAATTAAAAATTATATACGTTTATCCTTCACTCTTTTGCTAACCTTATTTTCTCTCTTTTAACTTTATTACTATTATATACAATTCCTCCCTCCGTTAAAGATGTAATCTACTGAAAGAGAAAGCTGACGAAAGAGAAAGTCTTGCTTCTGTGTTCTAATTACATAGAATATACCATATTTATAAACAGCTGATTAGAATTCATTTTCTTACTTGTTTCAAAAATGTATTTTCTATCTTTATAAGAAAAAATATGTTTTAACACAGAAGTAATGATTTCGTTACAACTTGTGTTTACATAAACATTTCACTGGTGTGGACGTGCTTATACGTCTTAATATCACGTGCATTGCCTGCTGTCGACATACATATGCGTTTTCAAGACGAACGCTTGGTGCTATTTTCAAAGTAGCGTAGACATATAATAGCGTACAATACGACCCCTTTTGTGGTGTATTTCTATTATATTGTGTGTTAGGGATTGTCGTTTAGCATAGCCTGTACTGCAGAGTATGCGATCAAAACCAATTGCTGTTAATGTCTTTATTTCCAGTTCGTGGCTTTATTGCCTTGCTTGGGGTGAAACGATTAAAAATGGCAATTTTCTACAGCCAAGCAATAATGTTATAACACTGAAGCAGTGAAAGTGTTTTAATAAAAAAAAAAAGGATAAATTCAAAAGAAATCAGAAAATGATATTTGGTTCATATTGTATATTAAAATTTACTGAATATATTAAAATTTCATGAATTCAAATGTAGAAATGTAGCTTTCGGCTAAGATATAAGTTTCTTTTACTTAAGTTAACTTTATTAATGTACTCTTGTCGACCGGCTAATACATACCATGTAGACGATCACGTAATTACGAAGAAAACCTCTTGGAATCAGGAAAACACGTTGGTTTTATTTATTTATTTATTTTTTAATAATCAATGTAGAATATGGTTTCTGTTCGTGAACAAAACAAATATGATCTCTTTCCACTTTGTCAGTCGCCAAGTCACCGGAAGCTTTACGAGACATGCTGAAAACCACAATGAAATACGAGAACAAGCCTCGACTAGAGACGCTCGTCTCAGAAGTAGAAGAAGCCAGGTATCCGGAACTGTTTACTCAGCTTCACGAAGCACGGGCGTTTCTGGACATGTTAGAAGACGAAGGCCAAGGTTAGAATCTTTATTCAGATAAGGATTCGGCAAAACCTGTTTTTAGCTTAAGTACCTTGAATTGTTTCTCAAATCCTCTGATTGATTATCGGATGATAGCAGATAAAATGCATGATTCATTGAACAAAAAGAAAACTTGTACATTTACGTTTGTATTCATTTTTATTAAAAGTCTTTATCCAAGTAGAAATGTCTTATTAATAACGCTGGGATTATATGTATTAGCTTTTCTTGTTCCGATGTTAATAATAAACGAGAAATTATAATCTTACACTGACAAATTTTGATACGACAAACCGATGTCTCTGCATGACGTAAAGGCGCGAGAATGTTTCTTTCTCCATGCAGAATGGTAAAAAAAACCCTCTTTATCAGAATATACACACCAATTTTGAAGGCTGTACAAAAAAAGGTTTGGCCAAGTATAGGGAACAAATAAAATTTATTTTATATACAAACGATATAAATGGTGTGAATTTTCATTTCATTTTACCGTTTGGAAGTAATGTCTGATGATCCAGCGTCCTTTAAAAGGGCTCTGGTGAAATAAATTATTACAATGGAGCCTTAAAGTGGTCTATTTTTCTTTAAATTATTAGCTCTGGGCTTACATTGAGCTCTCAGGTTTTCAGCCTCCTTGGGACTACCTATACGGATTACCAAGTTTTTCCTAACTTATATATATATATATATATATATATATATATATATATATATATATATATATATATATATATATATATATATATATATATATATATATATATATATATCCTCACTTAAAAAATCTATTTGTTTAATGACTCTCGAAGTTACGACCACATATAAAATCTCATTAAAAAAAGAAGAGTATTTGCACGTACGCAATATCACAATCCCAAATGGAATTGAAACTCGACTATCTGATTTACAATTCTGAGCACTTATAAGCTTACGACAGATGATATTTCCAATCGGTCACCCATCTAGGTACTAACCATGCATGATGTTGCTTAACTTCGGTGATCGTATGAGAGCCACCGTTTCAACGAGATATGGCCGTAAGCCTTTCTTCCAAATAAATAAAAAATACATAAAGTGAATAAATAAAGGGATATCCTGAACTATCGCCAGTCACAATGGAGGAGTCACCGTGTCTTTGGCCTCAAACTCATACCCGACCTCAAGTTGAAGTCTTATATCCGATCCATCGCTAAAGATGCAGGCAAAATCTGTTCCCTGTACCCACTCCAGTAAGTACCTGGCCGCTCATGCTATCCTCTACTTTTAGAAGAGTACTGTTTGACATATTTGGGCGGGGCTGCCCAATCCTCACTTTCAAGCCATGATAGAGTTCAAAAGCATCTCCGAGCCCTTGTTGGGGAAGAATTATTTTCCACCCTCCAAACTCTATCACATGAGCGGGATGTGGGTGACTCTCTCACTGCTCTATCGCTACTTCCATGGAAAGTGCTCAGACGAACTACATTCCTTGGTCAGTCAGGTCGAACCTTCACGGCTAGGACCCGGCATGCCGCTTACATAGTAGCACACCACTCACATTACCTCCGTATTCCATCGGCAAGAAGTATGTTCCACTCAAACAGCTTCTTCCTGCGAACCTCTGCTCTTTGGAACAGACTCCCAAGAGAATTTTTCCCCAATCGCTACAATCTGTTCAAATCAAGAGTTAACCGTTATCTTCCCCTCCTATGCATACAAAATATCCCTTAATGTAATCCTCTATCTCGAAGGGTCACCAGGCCTTATACGGGGTGAACCTTACTATAAAAGAAACGTACTGTATTTTTAGTATACAAACTAACGTTATATACAGAATATAGAGCTGGTTTTCGAATTTGTTTATTTCTACAGTGTAACCCGGATATAAGAGACCCGGATATAAGAGACCCGGATATAAGAGAGATTTTCTCTGGTCCCAAATTAGAGCCTGTGTTAATGTATATAAAATAGACCAAACCCGGATATAAGAGAAATCCGGATATAAGAGACTTCTTATCTGGTCCCGACAACTCTCTTATATCCGGGTTACACTGTTTTACTTTTCAATACACTCGTGTACTGTATAAACATCTAGAAATTTAAAAAATGGTGCATTATTTACATTAAAAATATCTTAAATTGATTGACACAAAATGTGCAAAATATCTTAAACAGCTGTAAGTGTACTACTGCTCACTTAACGACCAGGTAATTTAGCGACCATGTCGTTGGTCGTTTAAACCGGTCGTTAAGTGAGGAGTCGCTGTATTTAAATTTTTTTTGTTTTTTAAACTTTTAATGTCTTTTTCTATTGCATAGATATTTTATGCTATGTCTATGACTTCAAAAATGTTCCTGTCTTTTTGGTTGTTAGGAATTAAATCAGCGGAGTCCCTTCGCGACAATCTCAAAAAGGCGATCCGTCAGAAGGACATGGAGAGTCTTCAAAGCGCAATTGACAAAGGAATTTCCTCTGGTTATGCTTCGCTGGAGTCAGACATCCAGCAAGCCCGCGATATTCTTGAGCTGATGAAAAGCGGTCGAGGAGGTTTGGTCCCAGGCTCACTGACTATATATTTCACACGGTCACAGAAACCATATAATTATGCACACTCATATAAGTCAATACGCACTTTATTTATTTTGCATATGAATACTCATTATAAAAGATTGTTGTTGTAGATGTCTTAAATAAACAAATCCACTACTTTAACGATCGGAAAGTTGTATCAATTTTCCAGTATAGATTACATCACATGCATTGTAAATCTAATTTACTGGTCGATGTTTTTGTTGAGCGTTCACACACACACACACACATATATATATATATATATATATATATATATATATATATATATATATATATATACGAGTAAATTATTTTCAGATATAATGTATCTGCAAAGGAACAAAATGAATAAAAAGACAAGAGGTAAAACTATTCTTAGTTGACGCGTTTTGTCCTCTGAAGGGCTTTATCAAAACAAAAAAAAAGAAAATATCTATTTACTAGATTTGTTTTTCTTGATAAAGTCCCTCAAAGAACGAAACGCATCGGCTAAAAATAGTTTTTCCTCTTTTTATTCTTATATATATATATATATGTGTGTGTGTGTGTGTGACAGATCGTTAACGCCCAGGAAAAACACGTTGGCCAGTAATTTATTGGATATTAATTCATTTAAAGGCGGGTATATTTTTGTATATAAATTGCAATATTACAAAAATAGACCAAAAGCAGACTAATAAAAATTCAAGTTCAGACTTCAAGTTTCGCAGATAAAGCGCGCGTCAGATATTTTATCTTACTCTGATGCTCTATGTAGCTGCGAAAAAAGGACTGGCAATGTCTGTTTAATATTTTTTTGCATTTTTCCAATTTTTGAATAAGTTTTTCCATACTTTGCTCGAAAATGTAATTTTAAATGTTAAATGTTAATTTAAAAGACGTAGTTACACACTATAAGTTTACACGTAATTACATATTGTTACTTCGAAAATACAACTATAAAACAGACTAGTTCAGTTTTATCCAAGTAATTTCAATTTAAAAAGTCTCAGACCAAAATAGAATAATTTAAACAGATTTTTCAAACTTAACTAGACTTTTCCGATGAGAAATTAATTCATTTTTGATGCGTCTATTAAACATTTCTTTTACTTTGTCAGCTTCTAAATCACCATACGTGCTGAGAGAACAACTCAATTCAGCGATCAAGCTCAGTGATAAAGAAGCCTTAAGCAGAGCCATTTTGGAATGTGAGGCTGCCGGTTTCCCCGAACTTAGCTACGATTTGAGTCAGGCCAGACTCGCTCTGGAGAGTTTGGGAGGAGGCCGTGGAGGTTAGAAACCCCTCACATTTGCGATAATCATCGTGTGATTTTCTTTTCACCGTCTCACGTTTCACAGATAACACACATCACGCTTTGCATCTAGAAATAAGGCCAAAATATCCGATCAGTATCACAAGGTTTCTTTCCTTGCATGAATATATCTTTCGCATAACTTTCTATCAAGATTCACACGTTTTGAAATATGACACATCAGCACGCATGCGCACAGTTATATTAGGTAAAGCGAGGACTGAAATTTTTATATATTCTTGTGGATTTGATCAACCATTTTCGTTATCATGGATTTATTGTAATGAGTGGAAATTTTAATGGAATTTTTGTAGAATCTTAACTTGAAATAAATGATCATGAAATTCGTGAGCATAATCACCATTTATCAAAGAAACTTTCCGTTGGCCCTTTGTTAGCAAGCTAAAATCAGCGAGTATTCTATAACATGTAATAGATTCAGTTCGTATGACATGCTCCATATTTAGTGACTTTTTGTCAGTCTTAGCTGAATTTTGTAAATATCAACATTGGCGCTGTAGATATCTGGTGGGTAAGTTAGTTTACGACTGTATTAAATTCGATATTTATTGGTTGCTACATAAGTGTGGCTTAATGCCTGACTAAAGTACGATTGCTATATCTATCAAACAAAGATTATGTTTCGCGAAAAAACTGTCGATAACGGGTATTTCTGTAATATATATATATTTTTAGGTATGTCTTTGTAATTACAGTTTTTAAAACCGAGAGAAAGAACATTTATACTGCTACTACTAATAATAATTCAATTCTTAATCTACTCGGAGTTTCGCAGATTATGAAATCTGATCATGAGTAGACAAAAGTATTTTCTTTTCTCCTGATTTGTGCATTTTACAATTTGCCAAAGTCTGAACAGAGATAAATTAACATTATATATATATATATATATATATATATATATATATATATATGCACCAAGTCTCTGTATTCGGCCATTCAAAATGCGTGTGATTGGTTCTGCACAAAGCCTTCACCACTATAATCAAATCATATGTGCTGGTGTCTGGGTCGTCGGTTCCTATGAACTGAGCTGCTTGACCCTCATGAGTCGAACACGACGGGAGAGTCCATATATATATATATATATATATATATATATATATATATATAATTATTTTGCACATAGTTTCACAGATTCTGAAAATGATTGATTATTCTATCATGGTTTATCAGGCGATTTAAATCAGAAAATATTTTTAGATTGGTAAGAATAATGATTTTTACTGATGCAAGTCCTTCTAATCAACCCTTAGCTGGGTAGAGAAGAGGTGATATCGTATCTTTCCCAACTTTATTTCCAAGTGAATATAAAGAACACGTCTGGAACTGAAACTCAGCTCTCCGATTTCCAATTCCTAGAGGCTTACAGTTCCTGATATTCCCAAGTTGTCACCCATCTAGGTACTGACAAGGCTTAACCTTGCTTAACTTCGGTGATCGTACGAGAAACCTTGTTTCAACGTGATATAGTCGTAAACCCGCAGACTAATACATTATTTTCTTAAACAGTGGAATTAATCTCGGCAGGTTGTTATCAAGTATCTCTGTCTCTATCTCTCTATATATATATATATATATATATATATATATATATATATATATATATATATATATATATATATATATATATATATATATATATATATATATATATATATATATATATATATATATATATATATATATATATATATATATATATATATATATATATATATAATGTTAATGCATTTGTATATGAAATAGATTTTTCTCGGTTAGACTTTCTCAATATTTGCTCTTTATTAAATTAGTGATGGATCATACCCGCATGTAAGCACCTTTTTCCTCACGTGATTCCCTTTTGCACTCACATGTTCCGTATTGTAAATGAGTTACCCTCTTTGTATGATCACCGTAAGCACTTTATTGCAAACAGCAGTTTACACGTCACCCTACACGAGAACGAGAATTCGCTTATTTCAGCCAATCATGCACACGTATAAGAATTCAAAATGGCTGCATGCGCCGGAAAAAACAAATCTGTGGAATTCCATTTTAAACTCTTTTGTTTGCTTACCAGGAAGCAAGTCCCCGGAAATTTTACGAGAGCAACTTGCATCCGCCATGAAACAGGAAGACAAATACATGCTGGAGAAGGCTATAAACGAATGCGTGTCAGCCGGCTTCTCCGAACTCGATTCTAATATTCACCAAGCCAGAGACGTGCTTAGTATTTTGTCCGGTGGTCAAAGAGGTACACTTTTCATGTCGAATTCTTATTTTCCATGTTTATTATTCTGTGTTAACCTATTCATTCCAGTGAATTTGCTTTTCGATACGGTTTTGGTACCGATGATCTCTCACTTAGATATTATTGTTCATTTTTATTTAAAATAGCTATATAGGGAAATTTTTCGTGATGGCTGAGTTTTAACTTATGTTTTTAGAATATTTTCTCAAAGGAATGATTGCTGTTTTCCAAAATTTTGCATCAGAAAGCGATGCAAGAAGAATTCTCTTAAAAGACAGAATGAGAAAATTTCTCAATGCTTACGCTTGAAATGTGTACGTTTTATGCTCTTTTTTTTTGGTAAAGTTCACATTTATTATCAGAAATCAAAGTATAAAAAGACTACATCGCAGTTAGGAATATTTTTCTGTTTGGAAAGACTAGAGAAACTAGTTTATCTGTTTCATACGCACATTTGCAAAAATAAATATATGCATCATCCGCAAAAGTTACGCTTTGAAATAAGCCAAAGAATCCAGGTGAATAATAGCTGCGAAATTTCTTCGTCAGAATGCCCGTTAAAATGAAATATGCGTATTATACAACAGAATACCTCAAAATGAAATATGCGTATTATACATCAGAATACCTCAAAATGAAATATGTGTATTATACATCAGAATACCTCAAAATGAAATATGCGTATTAAACATCAGAATACCTCAAAATGAAATATGCGTATTATACATCAGAATGCCTCAAAATGAAATATGCGTATTATTCAACAGAATGTTCCAAATAAAATATGCGTATTATACAACAGAATGCCTTAAAATGAAATATGCGTATTATACAAAATTATGCGTATTATACATGTATTTTTAAAATTTGTGAGTATTAAGAAGATTAACTTAATCGTAATAAAATGCCTTTGTGATTTTTTAATTTGTAAAATAAATAATTAGCTTTAAATAATACTTTTTTTATAGAAAAAAAATAAACACAGATTACATGTGATTTTAAAATGCATTTTTAAATTTGTTATTTCATTTTGTTGAGATTTTTCTTTTTCATTTTTTTTTTATTTCTTTTGGGCCGATTAGGGCACCAACCGCCTGATGTTCTCCGTGAAAGACTTGAAAACGCCAGAAAAAATCTTGACATCTCAGCGCTAAAATCTTCCATTCAAGAATGCGAAGAAGCTGGTTATCCAGAATTAGGAGTAGAACTCCAAAAAGCACGTGACACTTTAGAAACACTTGGAGGCGGTCGAGGAGGTTAGGCTCATGATTTACTTCGCAAACGAATGTCTTTCATCAGAATATTTGACTAATTTAATTTCGAAACCATGTCATTATTTTCTGTAATATCTGCAGCATTTTGAGTAACGGTATATAGTTAGTCTTTTCCTCTAAAAAAAAAAAGTAAAAAAACAAAACAAAACGAATATACAAACAGGTAACAACATTTTATTGCCTTGACACACTTAAGAGAATGAATAATGAAGAAAATGAAGGTATATTATATACTTATCTACTATCTCGCACATACGTGTATCCAAAGTCCTGTCAAAGATGTGGAGAGGCTTATGTTTGGGAAGAGTCCTTTTTGGTTTGGGTAGAATTTATGTATGCTTGTATGTAGTCAAGTAAGTTTAGGGACTTATATGTTATTTATTTACTTTATTATTATCTATACAACATTAGGTTTACGGATGACCAAAATACCATTACAGGGGAAGAGAGACACGTACTATCTGGAAAGCCTCGTATGGCTAATGCAGAAAAATAGAGAGAGCCACTTTGCGACCTTTTTCTTTTATACTGCTTTTTCACACGCTGTCTAGCGATCGTTAGTAGACGTTCTTTGGCAGACAAGTGGGGTAATCAGATATAAAGATGCTTTTAGAAATATATTATTTAATTTTCTCAAATTATTCAATAAGGTATACACTTGGTAGATATTAAAGATAAACTTTGCTTTTTTTTAATGTAAGTTAGTGTTACTATGGTATTTTACATCATTTAATTTCATAGGAATATATAATATATATGTATGTATATATATATGCTTTTATATATATATATATATATATATATATATATATATATATATATATATATATATATATATATATATATATATATATATATATATATATATATATATATATATATTCTTCGAAATATATATATATATATATATATGTATGTATGTATTAATGTAAATAGATAAATGTGTTGATTTGGTTTAATTATTTGCCGTAAAAATGTATTTTGTGATCCGGGTTATCGGCCACGAATTCCTTAGCGTCCCCCATCCGTTTTTATATATGTCTTTTACTTAAACAATGTTTTAAGCTAAAAGCAACTCTTTTGCACTCTCCAAATCAGGGAGTAAAAATCCGTACTCATTACGCGAGAAGTTGCAAAAAGCGATGAGGGAAAAAGACGTGACGGCGTTGGAAAGAGCGATAAATGAAAGCGTTGCAGCCGGAATGCACGAATTAGACGCCGACATCCAGCAAGCGAGGGAAGTTATGGCCGCTGTCGTCGGGGGAACTCCAAGCCGAGGTTAGATCCGTTCAAATCTGTCACATCCCTCAACCTGCTTTGATTGCTTGTCTATTTTGTGAATAGCATGTCATTGAGCATCATTTGTTTTAAACATATGTGTTTTTTCGTAAATATTAATATAATTTTCTTTTCCGTAGAATGTATCAATATATAATTCATAAAATGCCCATGACTTTTCTTTATAAAATTCTTCAATTGAAGCGAGGTTACTGAGAATGGAATTAACAGAAAGAACAATAAAAGAATCCCTGTCACGTTCTTTGTCATTACTATATATTTGAAGCTAAAATTTATAATATCATCTTGTAACCTTATCATATATATATACGTTATTTTTATAGATACAATTTATTTAAATAAATGTTTTTAATTAAACATTGTTAATTACATTTACCATGTTCAAGAAATTTCATAAAAAATATGCGTTCTCCTACAGGAATCGAACCTGTATTCCTATACATTTCATTTTATATGTTGTCATTTGAAGAATATCTTTGAGATTGATATCATGCAATATTTTTCTCTGTTAGATCAATATTAAATGTGCAATATTTGTATTTTTAATGTTATATTCGCTATATCTTTTAACAGACTAAATATTCTATAAAAATATTGAAATCTGGCTATTTCTTTAGTATTTGCTATATCGTTCTATATGAAAACACTAGATTAAACAAAATAGATACTATTGATATTGGGAAATCTGCTGATTTTCTATATATAGACAAAATCCTATATATATAGCAAATAGTATTTAGAGGCTCACTGTATATCCTATCATCATCGTGAATAAATATGATGCATTTGTGATTATGTCCTATCCGTGATACCAAGTGTTAAAATCCTTCTCGTAATATTTCGCGATACGTAACTATTTCAGATGATAAAACGCCAATAGGAAGGTACAAAAGTACGTATCACTTGATGAAGTGTTAAAATCGTTCATATTTTGTTTGTCAGGAACAATAACTCCTGACGGTCTTCGCCGAAGGCTGGATGCTGCCATCTTCGACAAAGACAAGAAAAGAATTAAAAAAATCATCAACGAATGCCTCGCTACTGACCTTCCTGAATTGGAAGGAGATATCCACAAAGCCAGAAATTATCTGGATATTCTTGAAGGAGGCGCTGGACAGAAGAAATCGGCGCGTGATATTCGGAGTGATTTAGCCAGAGCGATAAAAGAAGGGGACAAGACGAAATTAGATCTGGCCATTCGCGAATGCGAACAAATGAATTATCCAGAACTCGGCCCCAACCTTAGGGAAGCGAGGGACACTTTGGAAGCTTTAGGAGGAGGTCGTGGAGGTTAGTAAAACTTATATCAATGTGTACAGTTATCTAGACAAACGTTCACTTTTACGGAGATTTTGTGATTGCCTTTTCGGTCGATGTGTTTTTACGGACTTAGCTGTTCAGATAAGCTGTGCTGAATTCGACCGAGAGACTTGCGTGTTCAGTTTTTTTTTTTTAATTACATTTTTAAAAAACTGTGTATAAGCAATCGCACATCTAGATTAACATCATGAATAAACAGTTCAAAATTCATGTTTTGGGGACAGCTTATTTAAAAAATGTATCAGTTTATTTGCAAACTCAAACATGTTACATAAGCTTAAGCAGGAAGACGTTGTCTTGACGGTCGAATTCAATAACATAAGTTTAAATAAATTTCTTGTTATCTACACATGCACTTTAAGTTTATTTTCATAAAAATTTTCGCAATCGGACAGAGATCGGTTTTTTGCTAACAATACGATTTACACCGGAAAATACCCCCATCTACAAAAACATCTGTCGATGAGTAATTCCCATTTCTCTGTTTATTACTCAGTCCGTTGATGAAGGACGCAGGCGTGTCCGAAAATTCCGAACTTAAAACCTTTCTCTCCGTGCTTCATTTCTCAGATATGGTTAATCATTAATATTTAATAAATTTTTATCGTACCGATTATATTGGTACCCTTTCGTTTGTCCTTGTTTTATTAACTAACCTATCTATTTATATATATATATATATATATATATATATATATATATATATATATATATATATATATATATATATCAATTTGTCTGAACGCTGATGACAGAGACATCACGAATCTTTAAGTTGACCTTTCAAAAGTATCCTGAACTAATATAGTTCATATGCCAATAAGTATTGCTCTGTATAGATATTCAGCTCTATATTTACAAAATTCTGTTCACTTTGACATACGTTAAGTTATATAATTTTACGTATATCAATAAGTACGATATGATGATAAAAATATAGTTTCAAGGTATGCTATATTTAAGGGTAAAAGTGTTCAATATCGGGGATAGAGCGCATGTAAATATAAATGTAGACACTTAGGTCATCATCGAGCTGTGACAGTCTGTTTCATGTTTGAACGCAAGACGTGAATATTGTGTTTAAGTATGAAACCGACTGTCGCCACTCAATTTCAAACTTATTGTCCATTTGTTATATATATATATATATTGTGTATTTGTGTAGCAATCCCTCTTTTATAAAAATTTCGTCGGCAGTGATACGGCTTTTGATACGGCTGGTAATTTACCATATAATTTGGTTATTGTGGGATGGTTTTAAAAGAGTAAACACGCTCAAATATTTTTTCATATAATTAGACTGAAAAAAAACATTTAGAAATTTAATGGATGTGCCGATGAGGGCACGAATTGTGCATTAACTTTATATTTGCTTCGAGTCTTTTTTTGCTTTTTTTTGTGTGAAAATATTTCACCTTATAGTCCAACTTTGTATTGGGACGTCATGCGATACATTCTGTAGCAAATGTAAGTGCCTGTATGATTGATATAGTCTCTTCAATTTTGCTGCTTGGCTCAGTAATTGTTCGATACCCAAGCTTATTTTTTAAAATAATTTTCTCCATTTTGTCTTAAATTTATTGACTTATATCCTTCGAGTGTCGGCTTAAACAGACGACTTCTTTTTTTTCTTTCAATATTTTAACCATTTTGCTTTAAAGTTCGTTAATTTTCAGATGTAAACTTAGAAACTTTATCAACCTTTTTTCAGTGAGACTTTCACTTTCCTGTATCATATTTTATAATGTGAAACACCAAAAAGGAGTCGGTTTAAACTGAGACCAGGAGGATAAGGGCTATAGCTATAACAGTTTCCAGCGGAATGTTTATTCGAATCGGCACGCTTATTTTATAAATAGAAAAGAAATCCCGCCAGCACTTCTATTCCAGACGGCACTTCTATTTGGTACAAAAGAGTATTCACTTAATATATTAGTTCGACCTCTCTTCATGTTTTAGGTGGAAAAACTCCCGAGACGCTTAAAGAAAAACTGAGTGTAGCCATGAAAGAAAAAGAACCAGAAGCACTTGAAAAGGTCATTGAAGAATGTATAGCGGCTGGGATGCCAGAACTGGATAGTGAGATCCAGACTGCACAGGGAATTCTTGATCGCGCCATAGATGATCAGGAAGGTTAGGACAATAGTTTTATTTTAGGTCCTATTTTTATTCATTTCTTTTTCGAATACTTAAGAATAAGTAATGTTTTGCCTATTAATAAAAACATTTTCTAGACAATTATAAATTATGTACGAAGTGAATCAGTGTATGGTATAATATCTATCATAATTCTGGGGTTACTTTACAGTCTCCGATCATTGAGTAAGCAACATGGATAGAAATAAAGACACCAAAAATACAAA